GAAGCACTCTACGTGAACTGCAGAGGTCTGCCTATGGCCCACCTGCCCCGCACCTTACACTCACGTTTGTGCAGGGCTCGCTCACCCTCCCCGTCCTCCGTCCACATGCCAGCTGTGCTGAGCTGCAGGGAGCCCGCTGTCCAGCCCAGTGCCTGGAGCAGCTTGGAGGCGTCTCCCCCATGCTGCCCGAGCTCCGCTCAGGAGGAAACTGGGACGTCGTGCCTGTTGCCTGGGGACCAGGACAGTCCATGGTGCACATCCTCCCAGAACGTAGCGTGTGTTTTGTTATCCCTGGTTCTGCAATACAAGCCGTACCCTCGTCATCTTAAGAATATTTAGCTTTCACTCTCCCGTTGTTTATTGCAATCTCCCCACCTCAACAGTTCCAATCTAAACAAAATGACTGTGTGTGCAGGTGGGTGTCAACACCAGATTGAGGCCGCTGTCCATCTCCATGGTGCAGAGCTCTTCCGGCGCCTCCGTCTCCCCCAGTCTCCCCACCAGTCCGTCTTCACATCCACACAGGTGTCACAGACCCTGCCGTGTCAGTTATCTGCTGCTGTATGACAAATGTCCACACACTTGGTGGCGCAAAACAACTCACACGTACGATCTTGCAGTTTCTGCAGGTCAGGAGTCCAGCACAGCTCGCTGGGTCCCCTGCACAGCCTCTCAAGGCTGCAGTCAAGGTGCCATCCGGGGCCGGGGCCCATCTGGAGGTCCGACGGGGGAGGCGCCAGGCCTCAGCCCCTCCGGGTCAGCAGAACTCCTGTCTGTGGCTGTGGGCCGGGCCGGAGCTCCTGGCTGCCACCCAGACGCCGCCTGGTTCCTGGGGTGGGTGTCCGCCGTGTGGCTGCTGCTCCATCAGGACCACCTCTTAAGTGAGTCTTCTGCGGGACAGCCTCAGGTGACTCGGTGAGGTCATTCGCCGCGGACTGACATCCCACCCCTTTGCCACAGGGTTCTAGTGGGTCAAAGCTGGGGAGGGGATTACACCAGGAAGTGGGGGTCACTGCAGTCTTCCTGGGGTCTGTCCATCACGCACATCGAAACATCACAAATGACACAGAGAATGTTGGGACCAAATATGTTTTGGGAAGTACAAAAAATTCACCACGGTTTGGTTTTCGCCCTCTCTACTTATATATGAATTCAGTTTTTATGCATATTAATAAATTACATTTGAATGACCCAAAAACATTTGCATGCCGTTTCATGGTGGGAATGGCCTTTCACGATCATAGAGGGCCTGGACTTGAAGCCCGGTCTCATAAGTCATGGCCGTGTGTCCTCCAGGTGGCCGAGGGCTCACCCTTCTGGACGCGGTGAGGCCTCCAGAGCCCACCTGCCGCTTACAAGCATGGCCTCGGTGCCCGGGCGCCCGCAGACCAGCACCCAGGAAACGGAGACGGTGTGGAGGGGAGGCAGGCGCCTCAGAGAGGAGGGGGGGGCTGCGTGGCCGGGGGCAGCTGCAGGTGGAGTGGGAGGCTGGCAGTGGTGAGGTGAGGGGGCGGGAGCATGAAGGCCTGACACCCTGCATTTGGAAATTGTCGAGGGCAGTACGTGCATGAGGGACGGTGTGACAGTCCGCTGTACTCATCGCCGGGGGCGGTGCAGCAGAGCTGGGAGAAGAGCAGGTGCGGCCGGGATCAGGTGGACGTGGGCGGCAGGTCCAGCGGGCCCTTCCCAGAGGGGAGGGCTGTCACGGGGCAGCTCGGAGACCATGGCGGGCAAGGAGTGCTTTGAAGTGGCACAGTTCCTAAGGCCAGAGGACACTGGTCTGCGTTCGGTCACCTCCACGCGCTTGGACCTCAAGGAACTAACTCGATGCAGAAATGGTGTTCCTGGGCCGCAGGCACCTGGGCAGCCGTGCAGGGAGGGGTGTGGCTGCTGGGCGTGAGGTAAGGAGCCAGGTGACGTGCGCGCGTGCATTAGAGGAAGGGAAAGGGAGAGAGAGATGGGAACATGGATGAGAGAGAACATCGACTGGCCGCCTCCTGCACGCCCCTCACTGGGGATGGGGCCCACAACCTGGGCATGTGCCCTGACCAGGAATCAAACTGGCAACTTCTTGATGCGTGGGTCGACACTCAACCACTGAGCCACACCAGCTGGGCGACATTTGTGTTTTAAGGTCATCCATTCATTCATTTGCCAGGTGCTGTGCTAGGCCTTAGTGTGAGTGACATTCTGCCCTTGAGGAACTTAAGCTGCAGTTGGGAAGACAAGTAATTAACAAAATGGGATACTGGCTTTGACGGCACATGTCACAGTAGGAGTGGAGTGATCGGGGGCCTTCCTGGAGGAAGTGATGTTTAAGCAGAGGCTAGGAGTTTACCAGGGGTGAAGGAAGGATAGTTTGGGCAGAGGGAAGAGCAGAGGCAAAAACCTCCTCATTGGGGATTTGAAACCATTCTCATGGAGCCCACTGTGTGTCGGCCACTGTGCTAGGCCCTGAGGGGGGAGACCTGCGTGAGGTGTGGCCTGAGCCCCAAAGGCAGAGTGGTCCGAGTTGCAGCGAGAGGGGCCTGGCTCTCGGCTCCGCCGGGGCGTCTGGGGAGGGCACCGGTGGAGTCTCAGCCGAGAGCGACTTGACCAGATTTGCTCTGTGCCTGCGGCTGGACAATGGGCGAGACTGGAGGCAGGGAGGCCGTCAGGAGGCTGGGGCAGTGGCCTGAGTGTGCCCGTGACAGCACCCTCTGAAATCACTTCTGACCCCAGCAACAGGGAGCTCTCGGTGTGGCAGTCCAGAGCGGCCACCGGGCTTGGCTGGGGCGCTGAGGCCCCTGGGCCTCCCACTGCCCACCTGCGGCCCTTGGGGGGCCCTCAGTCTCACTGTGAGCCCTGCCCTGCTACCAGCTCAGGCTCCCTCCAGGAGCTATCATGGGGCCCAGCCACACCCGTGAACAGCTCTCTCAGAGGCCCTTCCGGGGGGCTGGTGTGCCCCGTCCAGTCAGCTCTCCCAGAGACCCTTCTGGGGGCCGGTGTGCCCCGTCCAGTCAGCTCTCTCAGAGGCCCTTCCGGGGGGGCCGGTGTGCCCCGTCCAGTCAGCTCTCTCAGAGGCCCTTCCGGGGGGGCCGGTGTGCCCCGTCCAGTCAGCTCTCTCAGAGGCCCTTCCCGGGGGGCCGGTGTGCCCCGTCCAGCCAGCTCTCTCAGAGGCCCTTCCGGGGGGCCGGCGTGCCCCGTCCAGCCAGCTCTCCCAGAGGCCCTTCCGGGGGGCCGGCGTGCCCCGTCCAGCCAGCTCTCTCAGAGGCCCTTCCGGGGGGCTGGTGTGCCCCGTCCAGTCAGCTCTCTCAGAGGCCCTTCCGGGGGGCTGGCGTGCCCCGTCCAGTCAGCTCTCCCAGAGACCCTTCCGGGGGGCCGGCGTGCCCCGTCCAGCCAGCTCTCTCAGAGGCCCTTCCCGGGGGGCCGGTGTGCCCCGTCCAGTCAGCTCTCTCAGAGGCCCTTCCGGGGGGCCGGTGTGCCCCGTCCAGCCAGCTCTCTCAGAGGCCCTTCCGGGGGGCCGGTGTGCCCCGTCCAGTCAGCTCTCTCAGAGGCCCTTCTGGGGGGCCGGTGTGCCCCGTCCAGTCAGCTCTCTCAGAGGCCCTTCTGGGGGGCCGGTGTGCCCCGTCCAGCCAGCTCTCTCAGAGGCCCTTCCGGGGGGCCGGCGTGCCCCGTCCAGCCAGCTGTCGTTTGCATTAGTGGACCAAAGCTCGGCCTTTGATGGGGAGGCCAAGCTGACGATACACTTACCTTTGGACCAGCTGCATCCAAGTGTCAAGGGCACCAAGACACCACTGAGTGGCCAGGTTTTCTGTCCCCATTCCTTCGAAGTCTGGAAGGCGGGTTCCCTTGAAGGTCTCCTCCACTCTTCAGTTGTCAGATCAGTAAGTGGCTCCAGTCCACCCCTCCAGCCCCCTTTATTCCGGACGAGAATAAGAGCTCATGGCCCTGGGCTCCCCAGAGATGGTCTCAGGGCTAACTGTTGGCCTGCCCTTGCCTTCAGCTGTGCATTGGCAAACAGCCCTACAGGTCATGCCCGCAGGCCCCATTGTGGCCCAGAGCAGAGAAGTTAGGGTGATTGGCTCCACACGGAGCTGGTGACAGCTCTTCCGATCGGAAGCCCTCGGCTGGTAGAGATGGGTTGTGGAGTTGTCCATCTTTCTGGCTGGTTGTTTTAGGAATGCATTGTTGTGGGGAATTAAGCAGAGAAACAGGTTAAGCAGAACCTGGGAAACGCACACAATTCCCCGACTTTTTGATAACACAACATTCCAGGGCACCAACTCAGGTGCATTTCCCAGAGACCATGTCAAGGGGCAAATTTCACAATGAGAAAACCTTCAGCCACAGCCAGCAAGAGTAGAAGAGGAGAGAGGATGCACCTTGAATGTGAGCTGGGCGAGTTCAAGTGCACAGCACGGCCCGGGAGACAGGGCTGCCGCAGAGCTGGGAGGTCTCAGGTCTCCTGGCTTCCTTTTTATTTTTATTTTCTAAATCCTCACCCAAGGATATTTTTCCATTTATCTTCAGATACAGTGGGGGAGAGGGAGGGAAGGAGAGAGAAACATCGACGTGAGAGAGACGCATCAACTGGTTGCCTCCTGCATGACCTGACCAGGGCCGGGAGCAAACCACAACTGAGGTACATGCCCTTGACCGGAATCGAACCCGTGACTCTTTGGTCCTCAGGCCGCCACTCTACCCGCTGAGCCACACCGGCCAGGGCTCTCCTGGCTTCTTTACCCCTTTGAATTTGGCTGTTGCTGTTGCACGTGGGCAGGAAGCGTGAGTAACTCGCTTTTGGAGACAGGGGGCTTTTAGGTTTCTCTCCAGTTTCCAGCTTCTAAACTTTGTTCCTTTGTAGAAGAAAAGAGTTAGATGTCACGTTGAAACTGGCCCATAAACATCCTTGAAGCTCATGGTAAACAAACAAAGCTTTATTTATTTTTTTTTCCCTTCATTAAAAAAAGATGCATTGAAAACAGATTGAGTGCTTGGACCCTAGGTTCACCCCCACACTAAGCAAAGTAGCCCCAGAGGAAGATGCTGACGCTGATGCACAGGATGAGGTTGATGTCCAGAAGGGCTCTCACCGAGGGGTTTTCTTCCAGGGACGCGATGACGGGGTCCGCCCTGCCCAGGGGCTCCGCCTGGCCCTCGCCGTCCATCCCGCACAGCCACAGCATGGCTCTCAGCACTCTGGGCTGCTTCCGGGTCCCGTCCCCTGAAAGGAACCAAGGAAAGGTCATCAGGAGGGGCCGTGTCCCCAGAGCAGAGGAGCGGGGCCTGACCTGGTGTGTTTCATGCACCGTGATAAATATTTTCTGTGTCTTTGCTGGAAGGTGTGGATTAATAGTGTAATTCTGGAAGGCTGCTTTATTCCGGAAAACTGGTGTTTTTAGACCTCACCATTCTCAGGTCCTATGGAGTCAGGCAGGGGATATCTAGGAATCAGGGGGCCACTTTGGATATTCAACACATCAGAATATTTCTCACCTCCACCAGGAGATATTCTCTCATTTCTCTGAAACATGTGGCCCGGTGCTCCCCCCTCCCCTCAGTGGGTGTGGATTCATAGCCAGCTGCCTCAGGGCCACGGAGCAGCGGGGGCTGGTGAGGACCTCGGCTCCCTGCAGGGCATCCTGGCCTCCGGGCACCTCTCTACAGCTCCAGACAGTCCTGGGCAGACACACGGGCCCAGGGCTCCAGATCTTCCTATTTTTCAAGAGAAGATGGACATCTGGAGTTTTTTGTGAAATCCCAACCAGTGTTTGCTGACTTGCCCAGCTGAGGCGTCTGTTGAAGGTCCCTGGCACCCCGGGGATGCCGAAAGCCGAAGCTGCCCTTTCTGACTTGTGATGTGAGAACCCCCCCCTCGCACACGTGATGCTTCTCCAGGTGCTGCTGTAAGCGGGCAGAGGCCGCTCACCGTGCGGCTGGGACGGGGCTCCCGGACCGGGCACCAGCTGTGCGCTGCCGTTCGGGGCCGGGGATGGAGGCAGCGGAGGCGGCTGGTCCTGCTGGACCCTGGCGTCGTGACGCGTGAACCAGGTCAGGCGACTGAGCTAGGAGCAGAGATGGATGTGAGACTGGCGGTCGTCCCTTCCGCCCCGGCCGGCCCAACCCCACCTTCGGCCTTCACATCTTCGTCTGCCTGGTCCGCTCTCGCGCCCCCACGCGTGCTGGGAACCAGTGGGCACTCCCGCACCAGCCCGCCCCTTTCTTAACAACCCTAATTCTCGTGTTGGGTCTAACTCTCCCTCATGCTTGTCCCTGGAGCTTAACCCCAGCCCTGGGTATTGTGGGACCCAGCGGTCAGCCGCTCAGCACAACCCTTTCTCTGGCCACGGGGACCGATTGGTTTGCAGGTGAGCGTGTCTTGAGCTGACTGTCCATGGGAACAGGGAGCTTTGCTGGACGTGCTGGGACGAGTGTCTGTGCTCTTGCTTAGTGAGAACAGGAGGGTGAGTCCCGAGCAGTGGCCAGCCCGCGTGGGGCCTGGGGGCAGCCGCCGCAGCGGAGCTGCTTCTGACGGTTTGTCGGAGTGCTGAACTCAGGCTCCCCCACAGCCCCACGCGGGACCTCTCAGCTCAGCCAGGTGGGTGCCCTCCCTGCCACTCGCCGCGCGGTCTCCGTGGAGCCACAGTCAAGCCCAGACGCACCCTCTCCTTGGAGGGCGGCTCTGTGAGCCAGCTCACGGTGGACATGGTGCCCAGGGTGACGGCGGACAGAATCATGGAGAAGTAGAGGTAGTGGACGTCCTTCACCACAGAGGGGCGCTCATCCGGCTGGTGGCACTGCGGCTGCGTGTAGATGAAGTCCAGGATCAGCCGGACCAGGCCCAGGAGCAGGCCCACGGTCAGACCCGCGAAGGCACCCTGCGAATCAGAGAAGGCCGCTTAGCGCCACCCAGGGCGCGGGCGGCGGGCGGCGGGCTCCGCCCCGGGAACTCAGCAAGCCGCCTCTGTAGGGGCCGTGATTTGAAAAGGGTGGGAGCACTTATCTGTTTATCTTTTTTTTTTATTTTTTATCCTCACCCGAGGACATTTTTCCATTTTTTGTACAGATAGAGTGGGAGGGAGAGAGAGGAAGAGAGAGAGAGAGAGAAACATCGATGTGAAAGGGACACATCGAGTGGCTGCCACCCGCACAACCAACCAGGGCCGGGGACAAACTGCAACTGAGGTACATGCCCTTAGCGGGAACCGAACCCGAGTCTCTCCGGACCGCAGGCCAACGCTCCAACCGCTGAGCCAAACTGGCCAGGGCTCTATTTATCTTTCACACATAATTAATCACATATAACTTACTCATCCCTTGTTGATTCAGCTTTCCTGTTCATGAGAATGTGCATCGAAATAGAAGCCCTGTTGCTTCTATGCGAAGGCCGGGTAACACCCTCCCTGTGTCGGCCTCCACAGAACTCATCGTCCCCGAGGACACCCACGTCAAGGCACCCTCAGGTCCCCCTTCCCGTCCCCTCCTCTCCGTCCTCACGCAGCACCGGGGTCTGCGGGGGCCGGGGTGAGCCGCAGTTACCTTCTCGTTGCTCCGCTTCCAGAAACACCCCATGATGAAGACCACGGCCACGGGCGGCTGCAGGTAGGAGCTGATGGACTGGATGTAGATGAAGAGCTGGCCGCCATGGCTGGCCTGGATCACCGGGATCCAGAGGATGGAGACCAACACCAGGAGCAGCACAAACAGCCTGGTGCAGGTGGAGAGAGACCACGTCACTGCCTTCTTCCCTGGGAATCTCTCCTTGGTTTATGGCTTTGTGGAGGTGGTTTCATCCAGTCGAGTGGTGCCGGGAAGTCCCCATGCCCACTTCCAGGTCATTCTCATTCCCGCCCTAAGCAAGCACTTGGCATCTGTCTGGAGGCTGTCCCTTCCGGACATCTCACAGCAGCGGGCCGGACAGTCTGTGTGTTCGGCAGTTGCTTCCTCCATTCAGCATGTCTGAGGGCCATCCGGGCATCGGGCGTCAGCACTGCAGTCCCTGTTTTGTGGCAAGTATTCTGCTGAATCGGGTGGGGAGCCTGTTTTCTGCCAAGGGCCATGCAAAATTATCATCTTAAAAATCAGCCTGCTCTGTTTGGTCAGGGCAGCTTGGTGAGGCGTGTGATGTCAGCTGATGCTGACTTTGCAGGACGCTCCCCGCCCCCCACGGCGGAGTGGACACGCCGGTCCATGCCCCGTGTCTCCCCCTCGAGCATGCACATCAGGTTGTTTCTGCAATTTGCGTTTGTGAGAACATGCTGCCGTGAGCATCTGTACAGTCCCCGCAGACTCCGTTTCCTTCCTAGGCGTGCAGTTGGCGGTTGTGTGGTAGGTTTATGTTTAACTGCTTAAGAAACTGCCTGTGTGAACAGCTGAACCCTTCACCTTCCGACCTGCAGCTTGGGAGGGTTCCAGTTTCCCCTCGTCTCTCTGGTGATGGTCATTCTCGTGGGTGTGTGGGAGTCTCGCAGTTTCCCAGACAACGGTCATGTTTTGCAGTTTAGCGTCAGAATAGCGTCACTGTCCTTCATCAGATATTAGGGTTTGCAGATAGTTTCCCCTCCTCTGCGGCCTGTCTTCTCGTTTTCTTAATGGTGGCTAGTGTGTCCTTGTTTTCTCTTACAGCTATGCTTTTGGTGCCCCAGCTCAAAACCGTGGTCCTGAGCCGAGGCTGAGACAGCCCTCGGGGTGCAGCTTCCTGCAGGGCAGAGTCCCGGGGCTTCTTTACGTGTATTTTACGTGTGCAGCATTTCTGTTTCCCGCTAGACTTCAGGGATTGCAGAAGTCTTGGTCGAGAAACCTTTCCCCCCTAAAACACGGGACACCTCCTCCCCTTTACCTGGCTAACACTGTTCACCCTCAGGGCCGTCCAGGTTGGGGACTCCTCTCTGAACCCTAGGTCTCCTGACCCCCGTCATGGCACTGTTGGGGTTATAGTTGCCTGGTTATTTACCCTTCTCTTCTAGCTCCATGCATACGGAACTGAGTTGTTTCTTTCCATTGCTTTATGTCCAGCGTCTGGACATAGTAGGTGCTCATCGAACAACTCTTGAATGAATGAGTGACTTACACATGGGGTCCTAATGTACCTCATTTCACCATCAGCGGGGGCTGAGCCTGGGTAAGGAAGCTTGCCTCTGGCTGGGCTCAGCTTCCTCCCCCAGGCTCTGGACAGTTCCCTCCCGGGCCCGCCCGCCCAAGAAGAGCTTACCTGCCCACAATCATGAGCTCCTTCTCAGAGGCCCGCGGCCGGACGTGGTGCCAGAGGTCCATGGTGAAGATGGTGCTGGCGCTGTTGAAGATGGAGGTGAGGGAGGACATGAGCGCCGCTACCATCACAGCCATCATGAGCCCACGGAGCCCTGGGGAGAAGGGGGGTCTGGCCTCAGGCTCTCTGCGCTCACGGCCGCTGCCTTCTCTCATGACCCCTGACCCCAGGCCCACAGCCAGCTGACCCCCAGGAGGTTCAACTCTGGGGAAGCAGAACTCTGGGTGGGAGCCATGAGGAAGGACTCGGTGGCGGGGTCGGGGGAGCCCTGGCTCTGGGGCTCAGTCCCTCGGCCCAGAGCCCGTTGCCTCCCACCACCACCCCGCGTGGCCCTCCCTCAGGCAGAGCCCAGCAGCGCCCTCCCCCCGGGTGCCGCAGCGGGTGAGGGAGGTTACCGGTGGGCAGGAGCTCCAGCACAAGTTTGGGATACGCGATGTCCGAGCAGCCAGAGGGGTTGCCGCAGACCTTCCGGCAGATCTCTGGGTCTGCACAGGCCACTTGATCTGTGGAGGACACAGGCCCACAGGTGAGCAGACCCCAGGCCTGGCCACAATGTGGCCTGACCCTGGTCAGCTCCAGGAGGCAGGATCAGGTTACATGAGTTCATGGCTCCATGACTTTACAGACCACGGCCCTCTTACCGCACCTGTCGGAACCTCGGTTTCCGTCTCGGTCAAGTTTGGACAGTAACATAAGATTATACTGAGGACAGCCCGCTGGTGTGGCTCCGTGGATTGAGCATGTCCCATGGACTGAGAGGTCCCAGCTCGATTCCCCATCAGGGCACATGCCCGGGTTTCAGGCTCGATGCCCAGTAGGGGGCGTGCGTGCAGGAGGCAGCCGATCAATGTTTCTCTCTCAATCGATGTTTCTATTTCTCTCTCCCTTCCTCTCTCAAAAAAATCAGTAAAAATATGTTTTAAAAAAAGTTATAGTGAGGATGGACCGAGTGCCAGTACCTAACGCACTTGGCCCTGGGTCTGACCCAGGAGGTGCCGACAATGCACCAGCTGCTGTCGTGGTGACTCAGGTGGAGCGGACACACCTGGAGCCAGTGCGAACACAGCGACCTCTGTCAGGCTCACCCCCGGCCCAAGGGACACCTCTGTTCCTCCGCGCTGCCAAGGGGGTGCCATCGCTGGACACGGCAGATATGCGTCACATTTCTCTCCTCATCTTCTCAGCAGCTCACGTGGTTCAGCAGCTGTTCCTCATTTTACACTCATAGAAACCCAATGTGCTGGTTCTGCTCCTCTCTCCCCCTTTCTGCACTTCTGTGCCGGGTCTGTTCTTTGCTGAGCAGCGTCCTGACCTTTCTGCAGACCCACCTGGCCTCCGGGCCGAGCCCTCCTCGTCCGCGTGATGGGCACGCAGCACAGGCGTCCTGCTGGGGGCCCCAGAGGAGCCGAGACCTGCCCCCGTGCGCAGTCAGTCCCCAGCTCTGTGGGAGGGGCTAGCGGTCACACTATCCTTGTCTTCAAAACCACATGAGGGAGGCAGAGATCAGTTTAACCCTCTCACAGATGAAGGGAAGGTCTCAGAGTTGGGAAGGGACCTGGTTACCTTCGCCCGGCCAGGTCTGTCAGAGGCAGAACTGAAACACGGTCTCCCGACTCCCAATCCGGTTTTCCAGAGAAGCCAGGCCAAGGGGGTGATGCTTTTCCATCCTTGTCGAGTCTGCCGTTACCCCGCCCAGGGCCTAATCCTAGCCCCTGGCCCCTGGCCCCTGGCCCCTGGCCCCTCAGAATCTCCGCCGTCTTCGTGTCCCCATGGCTAGCTTTCAGGTCACCTTCTGTCTTCCTGGGCTCCTCGGCCCTGAGCTAACATGCTCACCGCCGCCTGGCGCCTGCCGGCACCCCTCACCCCGGCTGGGCCGCGGTTCCTCCTGTCTCCTTTGCCAGCTGGGCTCGCTCCATGGCTCGCTCCCAGGCCTCCCTCTGCTCAGCCCGAAGCCTAGCTCCTCTTTCCTCATTCTGACCCGCAGCGCGGGCTCTCCACCCGCACCTGTGCCCATGGGAACCACCAGCCCAGGGGTGGGCACGGAGCCCTGCGCTGCCCACACCCAGCTCCTTCCTGCTTCTCACGCAACATCCGCGGCGTCGTGCTGACCGTTTCGCTGGGGCCTCAAGTGCAGGTGTCGCAGCGTCCCTGGGTGAGGCTGTATATTTAGCCTCTGTATTTTTATCTGCATTTAAACTGTTCATTTAATAAATGTGAACATTCGAAGTCCACCACAATTTAAAAGTCCAATGTTGTAGCTTCATTTTCTTGTTTAATGAAGCACACGACCTAAGAAATGGCAGGTGCCTCAGGCCCTTCTATCCGCTGGACGCCCGAGGGCCAGCTGGGCTTCGCAGAATCGTCCGCACCCCGTCCTGTCTGCCCGAGGCCAGGACCCCCCTCTCCGCTGACCCGACCATGGCAGAGCACATGGGTGCAGAGAGCACAATCAGTGGTACTGATAGCAGTTGTTACAGAATAAAAGTGGATGCCCCCAAAACTCTGGTTCAGCTGTAGACAAAATTAAAACTGTGGACCAAAAATAGCATTTGATAAGAAGTATTGAGAAGCAATCTTGTTGAGAAGAATGCTTTTAAGAGGTCCAAGTTCTTGGCTTTCTATGACTCTCCCAAGGAAGTTTAGGAAAAAATTAGAAAACAGTCACATTCTCATGTCCAGAATGTGGTAAGAAAGATGGGGCAAAGGTCAAGCTCACGTTCAAATCTACGGACTCTGTCTCGTCCCAAAGCTTCACTGTCCCAGGTACACCGAGAAGACCTCCCTGTGGTGTTTGATTAGTACAGAGTTGCTGTTGAATCTTTTGGAATGCAGCCTCCAACCATGAAAGACATGACCAATAACAAGGTTTATAAAGCGTGTTGGAGGCAGGAAATTGTGTTCGGTCTCAAGAATATGTTCGCCATAGGAACATCGGCTGGCTCGGCCAAGTTATAAATGGAACCAACACTCTAGCTCCTGCTCACCTCTCCTGGGCTAACCAGCCCCTCCCCTTATGGCCGGGGCTCCCTTGTCAGGCCCCGGGGCTTGAAATGCAGGCTGGCTCACGGAGCCCAGTGCACCGCACAGGCGGCCTTCCGAAGGCTCACGCTGCAGGAAGGCCCACCGCGCATCGGGGCGCGGACGGACGCTGCGCATACGCCTTCCACGCGGTCTTCGCGGCTCCTCGGGAAGACAGTCACACATCTTCTGAAGACAGGTAACTGGAGCACGGAGAGGTTACACAGCCCCCCGACATCAGACAGCTGGTAAGCGTCATGGATCGGTCTCAAATCCTTAGCTTATTCCAAAGCTCAGGTGGCTTTGTAAACAGGTACATCTCGGGATGCTTGTGTTTTATTGTCTTCAGGGTGATTCTGCTTCTCTCTTAATTTCTACTCGAGCTTCTTTGCAGGTGTGTGCCATTTCCCAGACGGACGGAGTGGGAGAGGGTGTGGTCCTGGCTCAGGAGAGCTCAGGATTGGGGCATAGTTTTTGGCGGTTCCGGGCCTAGTTGAAGATTCAGGGGGGAGCTGGTGGAGCCGAGATGTGGGGCAGGGGGCGGGAAGGTGCGGTGGCTTCACCCCGAGTCTGGCACTTCAGGCCAGGGCTTCTCCACCTTCCGATGGGTTTGTTAAAAACAGAATCCCAGAGATTTGGGTTCAGTGGCGCTTTGGGGCCTGAAAATGTGCATTTCTAACAGGTCCCAAGGGGTCACTGGTGCTGCGGGGAACCATGCTTGAGATGCTCTGGTCTGAGCCTTCAGACGCACAATGTCCCCTGCATCCTCTGTACTGATTCTTGTACCGTGTGTGGGGTTGATTTATACTGTACGTTGCTTCCTCATGAGCACCAGACTCATCTGTTCCATTACAAAGTTCTTAGAGGTGTAGAACATGACCTTATGTTTCATTTAACAATGAAACACTGCTGACATTTCTTAAGAGGATTGGTCCAAAGCTTAACATGCAATTTTCTGAGAGAGACAGGAGCATGACTCAGAGTCAGTGTTTGGAGGCAGACTCATCGGGATTTAAACCCCGGCTCACCCACACAGCTTGTGGCAAGACACACTGAACCTGGGAGTGATACAGAGCCCTCTTTTTCCTGAACCCCACAGCCAGTCCATCGCCGGTCTGGTTGGCTTCACTCTAAGTGACATTTTCAAACCATCCATGTGGATCAACGGTGGCCTGTTTCAGAAGGGGTCCCTGCCCAGCATGCCCTGCGACATTGCCCTGTGAATCCTCCTCACTGCACTTACTTAGCACAATCAGTGATCATCTCGTTTATCCGTTCATGGAACTGAGTGCCCCTCCTCCTGGAACTGAGTGCCGCCGCACAGGGATACATGTGCCTTGTTGTCGGTGGATCCCCAGGGCCCTCCTTCTACAGCTGGCTCTCAAAACCGTGTTGAATACCTAACTGGGTGCATTTGCTTTTCTGAGCCTCGGTTTCCTCATCTGGAAATGAGAATAACGAAGGTGCTCGCCTCGCACGGTCGTTTTGAGGAGCAGCGGCGGTAACGTCGGTGTAGACAACGCTCGAAGCGTGTCCACAGGCCAGGAGCTGCTGGGGCCCAGCGAGGACCAACCCCATTTTACAAACCAAGAGGCAGAGACCAAGATGAAGTGCCTTGTTCAAGGTCACACAGCTAATGACGGGCAGATTCAGGCCCAGAGAGCTCAGCTCAGAGTCCGTCTTCATACCCCACCCTCTGCTGTCAACTCTCCGCACTGGGACTGGCCTTTTCTAAGGGCACGTTGAACGTTGGCTGTTCTGAACCACGTTCTTATTCGTATCTCAAGCCTTGCCAAATAGCTGTACGTTTTCCCTCACGTCCCCACAAAACCCAGAAGCGGGTTCTCCCTCCCTCCAGGCCTTCCCCAGCCTGCTGCCCGCGGCTCCCTGTTCCTCCTGCCACTGTGCTCGGGAGGCTAAGTCCAAAGTCCGGCACCACAGACACACCCTGCTTCCTGTCCCCAACTCTTCCCTCCTCTTTTTTTTTTAAATCCTCACCTGAGGATACTTTTCCCATTGATTGTTTTCAGATAGAGCGGGAGGGATGAAGGGAGAAAGAGAGAGAAACGTAAGTGTGAGAGAGACACATTGATTGGTTGCCTCCCGCAAGACCCTGACCAGGGTCAGGGATTGAACCTGCAACCCAGGCATGTATCCTTGACCAGGAATCGAACCCGTGACTCTTCGATCTGTGGGCCAATGCTCTAACCACTGAGCCACACCGGCCAGGCTGTCCTCACTCCTATTGTCCTGAATTCCTTTGACAAAACTGCTGGACCGCCCCAGTAACTGTCTCACCCCTCCCTTCTTCGCCCTGTGCGCCACCATTGAGGATAAGGAACAGGGGAGGGAGCGCTCTGCCGGCCCCCACTCAGAGCTCATAAAGCCTTCGTGGGAATGGGAAGGAGCTCACTGGGGTGGAGAGTGAGGAGCTTTCTTCTGTACAGATCACCACTTCCTGAGACCCCAGTGACCCCTGATCGCACCCCACCCCCGTACGTTGAATCCCCACAGGGCAAACCTCATCCCTTTAACACACACACACACACACATGCTAAGGCAAATACCCTAAATGCTTTGCTACTCCTGGTTTTGGGTAAGAAAAGTAGCCCCAAAAGGGTTTCATTGGGCCAAAGTCACCAGACCACCAGCTCACGCACTACAGCGTGAGAGGAAATCTCAACAGGAGACATCAGGGAACTGACACCCGAGACCACGGAGTTTAGTCTAGTTTGAGGCTTCAAAAAAATAAAGCTGAGGCAAAGCCCCAGACAGGTCCCCTCCGTTCGGCCGGGGATGTCCGTGGGACGTCCCCACTGAACGAGGGTTGGGAGGTGGTGTCCATCGAGGACTGGAGAGGGGCCTCCGCACGTGCTCTTGGCACAGCAGTGACGATCTCCAGACATGTCGCAGGGCCTGAGACTCGGACCCCGACCTCCCGCCCCTCTCACCTGGGAAGAGCACGCGGCTGACCATCCCCGGGAACACCATCATGAAGAGGGGCAGCGTCTTCAGGTACGCAGCCATCAGGGAGCCCCCTTTGGCGTGGGACAGATTCCTGGCAGCCAGACTCCGCTGCACGATCACCTGGAAGACAGTGGGTGACCGCGGGCCGGCGGGCCCTCCGGGGGCGCTCGGACAGTGGGTGACCGCGGGTCGGCGGGCCCTCCGGGGGCACTCGGACAGTGGGTGACCGCGGGCCGGCGGGCTGTCTGGGGGGCGCTCGGACAGTGGGTGACCGCGGGCCGGTGGGCCCTCTGGGGGTGCTCGGACAGTGGGTGACCGCGGGCCGGCGGGCCCTCCAGGGGCGCTCGGACAGTGGGTGACCACGGGCCGGCGGGCCCTCTGGAGACACTTGGACAGTGGGTGACCGCGGGCCGGCGGGCCCTCCGGGGGCGCTCGGACAGTGGGTGACCGCGGGCCGGCGGGCCCTCCAGGGGTGCTCGGACACATAGCTCCTTGGTGGGCACGGTGGGCTCAGATCTTGGTTTGCTGGCTTCTCCTTGCGGAAGCATCTCCCCCCTTCTCAGTCCCTGTGGCCCAGCTGAGGTAGCCACGACCCCCACCTGCCCCTTCCCCACTCCTTTCTCCTGGGTTGGGCCTGGCCAGTTAGAGTTGTCCACAGAGTCACTCATTGGCCACCACGACTGGTCAAGAAGAAGTAGGTACCCCGTGTAGGCCAATGGCAGCTCCACAGGAACATTCTCCTGAGAGGGATGACGCCCCAGTGGGAGGGGCCGGGCCCGCGAGCTGCCTCTGCGCCTTCCTACCAGGACACCTTCCCGAGACGACCATCTCAGGGAAAGAAGATGAGGGCTGGAGAGGCAGAAGCAGTTTCTGATGACAGTCTGAGCCCCTCGGTCCAGCTGTGCCAGGCATGGCTGGAAACGGACAGCCGGGGCTCAGATCCTGCTTCCCCACTTCTGTGCTGTGTGGTCTTGGGCAAACAGTTTTACCTCTCCTTGCCTCAGTTTTCTGGTCTATAAAATGGGGAGACTATTAGGACCGTTTCGACAATTAAATGAAGTCAAATCATATAGAATATTTAGAATAGGGTCTGATAAATAGTAACTGCCTAATAAATATGAATTGTTACCACTGTTATTATCCCTCCCCCCCTTTATGTAGGTTAAAGAAAATATAGGCTTAAACAAGTTTTTCCTATAGACAACTAAGGATCCTCACTCCGTCAGCAAAGAACCCCTCGTGGGAAGAGAGTGGAGAGGTAGGCTCTGCCCCCAGTCCCACACCACACCCCGAATAATGTTTGAGGCTCCTTGGTGCAGATGCACACACCTGTTGGTGAGGAAGCGTGTGTTCGAGGGGTTTTTGTCTCCAGAAGCCATGGGCCCCTCACACAGTTGTGGAGACAACAGGATGACCGGGGACAGCGTGCAGCTCAGCTGCTGTCCAACGTCAATGACGGCGCACAGACAACCGGGCCTTGTGGACAAGGGCCAAGGTCAGCACCTGTGCCCTCGGGAGCACCCAGTCAGCCAGTCACAGCTCAGAAGAGCCCTGGTCACAAGCTGGCCACCCAGGCTGAGGAGTCTGCTTTTTTGTCACTGTCAGACCCCAAAAGGAGTAGTCAGGTGGCACTGAACAGCCCTCATCTCCACTGAAAAGCAGTGACTGAGGAATGGGAGGAAACATGGAACCCGGGCCCAGGGGCCCTTGCGGAGCACGGCCTCGCCGCGGGGCACCCTCTGCACCTGCTTCCTTTTGCTCTTCCTGCCACAAGCGGGCACAGACGTCCCCTCCCTGGGGTGGGAGGGAAGTGGGGAGACCTCCAGGGAGAGGTCATGGTGGCGGCTCGATGACCAGCCAGTGGGCTTCTGCACGGATGGGGGTGTTCTCTCTTACACGAGGTTCTGGATAAACCCGAGTGAAGAGAACGTCCAGCAAATGAACAGAGTGGTTAAAAGTGCAGGCAGGAGGACAGAGAAAAGTGCAAATCTCGGGTCTGGTAGGAGGAGGAGGGGAGGGACAGGGACAGGATTGGGATGTCTGGGCTCGTGGCCCGGCGCAGTGTGCCTGGTCTTGTCCCGGGGCCTCCTCAAGGACTCCTCTGGGTGGGCTGAGTCTGGGTCTGGCCGTGATTTAACCCCAGGGGCACGACCAGCCCAGTGTTCTCTGCCTGGGAGACCGGGCCACCAGTCCTCCAGCCCTGAGGTGGGGTCCCCCGGAGCTCAGAGCCGGCTGCTTCCGGAGTCATCGGGTCTCAGCGCAGCTGGAGAAGTCACAGCGAGCCGTGGACCAGCAGGAGTAACCCGTCTACCTGGCTGCCATGGGGATGCTGTGGCAAGCGGGGCACAGTGGACTTCTTCCCTTTTGTTTTACAGTGGACATCTATGTCCCGCCCCTTCTCTGAAGTCCATCCCCTCTTCACACGGCCGCCGTGTCATCGGGCACAGTCGCTTGGTCCGGAGTTCGCCCCTGACCCTGCTGGGCCAGGCAGAGTCCTTGCACTGGAGTTTGGATTGGGGACTCGGGTTGCAGCTTGTTTCCTGTTGGTCTGTGGTGGGAGACCGTGAAGTCCATGGGTGAGGAAGAGGGAGGACAGCGAGGGAACCAGAATCGGTTCCAGCGGTTTCTGAAGGCTAGTTCAGCTTCTGCGGTCTGTGAGCTAATAAGTGCTCCCCCTCCGTTTCCAGAGCTAATTTAGGTTTGATTTTTCCTGTCACTGGAGACCAAGTCACCCTTACACGCACAAATCATTCTTGTCGGGTGCTGCACGCGAAGACCCAAGACGTGGACTAGGCTTATCGGAGGAGCGGGGAGCGTGAGGTCTCTGTATCCGCGCTGGGAAGTCGCTGTTTTTGTTGAGAAGTTGGTGTCAGTGGCGTCAGCCGCTTGTCCACTCCAACGGGCGCCCAGTGAGGCTGTCACGCAGGGGCGAGGCCGTGAGGTGCAGGCTGAGTCGGCGATGCCTCAGTGCCCAGTGAGGCTGTCACATAGGAGCAAGGTGAGGTGCAGGCTGAGTCGCCGACTCCTCGGTGCCACGCTCACGCGCGGAGCGGCTTTGGCCCTGGCCAGGCCGTGTGGACGCAGAGAGGGACGAGCTCCTTTGGGAAACAGCCTTCTGCTGGAGAGAAGGCTGCGGTGGGGGAGCCCGGGACCTCATTCCTGGAAGTGGAGCCTCCAGATGTGAATGTGCAGACAGCTGAGTCAGTTTCAAGACAGCTGCGTGCTCAAAGCCCACAGCCCTGGGGGAGGGCGTCCCCTGTGCAACCCCCGCCCCCAGGACTGTGGGAGGTGACGGGCACCATGCTGTGAGGCGGTGGGTCAGCGCAGCTCCACTGTCTCACTCCTCAGTGCTGCTCACCTCTGTCTGCCCAGGGAGACCCGGACGGAGCCCTCAGTCGGTGAGCAGCGATGGTCACCTTGCCTTTCTTCTGCTCTACCACGAGCCCACTCCAGGCCGGCAAAGGCGCACATGTCCTGGGTCAGCGCCAGCCCGGGGAACCCTCGGTCCTCGGACTTGACAAACTGCAGCTCAACAGCGACACTGTGTAGTCAACACCATGGTCATGAGGATAGTGGGGGCTTGTGTTTCTGCACCCTCTCGTTCTACCTGGCACTTGGAAGGAAGCCAAACCCCCTGGATAAGTCTCCAGATTTTGAACACAGCAGGGAGGGCTGGAGGGGCCTTCAGTGCGCACTGCAGCGCCGGCTCGGAGGTCTGCGGGTCTCGAACGCTAGGCAGAGGACAGGGTGAGCCAGCGAGCGGCGCCAAGAGCGGCAACCGAAACCAGTGAAAACGTAAATTTTTCTTTTTTAATCCTCACCCGAGGATATTTTTCCATATTTTGTTCAGATAGAGTAGGAGGGAGAGAGAGAAAGAGAAACATCGATGTGAAAGGGACACATTGCGAGGCTGCCACCTACACGACCCAACCAGGGCCGGGGACAAACTGCAACCGAGGTACGTGCCCTTAGCGGGAACCGAACCCGGGTCTCTCTGGACCACAGGCTGACACTCCAACCGCTGAGCCAAACCGGCCAGGGCGAAAGCATAAATGTTTCTAATGGTCTATTTATTAAATGTCCCTGCAGCAAAAGCACTGTGACCAAATCCCTCATGCTCCCCTTTTTCGTACAGGAAACAGGCTCAGAGGTGTGAAATCATGTCCACGGTCACACCACCTGAGCCGGATTCCCGGTCTGTTCAACGTGAAGCCCGTGCTGTTAGCCTAGACCTGCTCTGCCTCCCAAAGGCTCTCCCACCGGAGATTTCTAAGGAAGAGAAGGGGTCTGCCTCTTAAAGGGGCAGTGTCTGGTATTGCACCACCCCTGCCGTGGTACCGAGCTCTTCCCGGGGAGGTGTCCAGCGCCCGCAGTGGCCTAGTCTGCATTCTCCGTAGAGTCTCCTTTAGTTAAACTCCCATCACCTTTAATACGCAATTTAGCTTCTAAAACGGTACCCAGATCTGACTGTTCATGTAACAGAAAAAACAAACACACCTTTCAACTGGTGCCATAGTCACTGGGTTTGAAACCTGAGAAAATAAACAGGTGCACCGTGAAACGGTTCCACCCATCCTGGTGCCTCGCTCACAAGTGTCTGCTGTTTTTCTTTTTAAATGTTTAAAAATTTTTATTGATTTTCACAGAGAGAAGGGGAGATAGGTAGAGAGAGGGAGAGAGTCTATTGGCTGCCTCCACAGGCACCCGGACTAGGGGATTGAACCCCTGTCCCAGGTACGTGCCCTGGCGAGAATCGAACCAGCCACCTTTTGGTGTACCGGACGATGCTCCAACCAGCTGAGCCACACTGGCCAGGGCTTTTTTTCATTCGAGATATATCCATTCAGAGTTTCTTTACGCATATACAAGTAAAAGCGAAAATCGAGTCTATTCTCTTTCGTTTACAAAACAGGGCTTATTACACACACTGTCGTGTCTTCTGCTTTTCTCACACCAGCCACGTGGTGCTGACGCCGTGCTCTGGCTGTGCCCTCTGCTGGGAACGCTTTGCCGTCCACGGTCACACGACCCTCGCTCCCCCCATGCCCGCACTCAGCAGTCACGGCCAGGCCCGTCTCCCTCCCCACCCTATTTAAAATCGCACCCCACAGTCCCACCCCAACCCCTCTGTCCCTGCTCTGCTTTTTACCACCTTTTACATTGCACAGAACTCATTTACTGTGTCCACTCCAGCTAGAAGGTGAGCCCTGCCTGATTGGTTTACTCTTGAACTCTAAGTGCCTGGTACACACACGATGTCCCGTGAGCATTTGTTGAGCAAACATCACCCAGAATCAGCTTTAACCTCCCTTTAGACAGTCTAGAGTTAGTGTTTCCTCTCGTTTGCTCCCTAGCTCTTCCCCGACATTCAGCAGGATGTGTGCAACTTTGCCATCACGTGGGCAGAGCAAGAAGGAAGATAGCGTGTGAGCCCTAGAAAGGGAGGCATTATCAACCATGGGGGGGGCAAATCAGAGAGGGGCAGTCCTCGCCCAGCCCCCAGGCGTGTGCTGGAGGGCCCGGCCCGCGGTCCCGTACCTGATCTGTGCACCAGTACCAGAGGGACGGCACGGACATTCCGAACAGGATCCCGGGCCACGGGAGGTCGGACGTCAGCGGGTCGCGGAAGATGTGGAAGGCGTCCTCGCGGGGCAGCCCGCAGCTGCTGTTTTCAGTGCGGTTGGTGGCCAGGGCCAAGAAGTACTTCTCCATCAGGCCTTCCAGCCCTCCCACGGCCGCAAAACCTGGGCACAGAGGGAGCCACTTTGCGGGGAGCCCAGCCGGGTCCCCGGCAGGGACGGGAGAGTCGGAGATCATGACACCCCGCTCAGGGTGTAGTTACCAAGGAAAGCTACCTCCTTAATGGTTCTTAGCCTCTTTTCCCTCTTTCGTTTTCATGCCTTTGGTAGTGAGTATGGAATGCTTTTCAGAATAATATTGCTAAATGCATAACATAAAATATGTAGGATTAGAAAGGAAACCAAATATCAGATAGGCAATCACCAAAATGTAAAAACTACGGTGACCTAGTAATGTATTTATTTGACCATTAAGTAGCCAAACCTAGCAGGAGGTCTAATAACAATTTTGTTTCAAAAGAGCCCTGAGCACAAACAGGGTTTCAATGCATCACAACTGCCAGAACATCTGGATAAGAACATCTGAGGTACCCTTCGGTATCAAAGCCACAAATACGGCTGATATTGCCGTGGTTCATTGCCCTCCCACAGCAGCAAAACCTGGACACCAGAGGGAGCCCAAATTTCAATGATAGATTCATGAAAATAGAGGTGAGTTTTTTCTTTTTTCTATCTAAGGTTCACAAACACCCTGAATTCTGCCCACAGACCCCCGCTTAAGAAACCTTGCCTTAGTGGAGCGGTCTTTCACCCCTGGACTTCTTGGGGTCTCTCCGTTCATGGTATCGCAAGAGAGGTACACATAATTTGTGACCCTGAGCAGGTGGTTTCCCTGGTCCGATAGTGGGGGTGGCCCAGCGCCAAACCGCCGGGGCTGGAGCTGGGGCTCAGTGAGACACTGCGCATGAACTGCAGGGTCAGACACAAGCATGAGCTATTCTGAAAAACAGCAAACTACTGCCGTTTGGAATCTGCGTCTTTTCATTCATTGAAAGGATTCAGAGTTACCCCAAAATAAGGTCGCTCTCACCATATTACATATTGGAAGGCTTTTTTTTTTTTGGTATGTGCCCCTAGTGGGAACCGAACCAAGGACTCTCTAGTCCGCAGGCCGACACACCAACCGCTAAGCCAAACTGGCCAGGGCAAGAAGGCTTTTTTTTCTTTTTGGTATGGAAAACAGGATGTTGGGTAGAAATGGCTACTAGGGAAGAAATTACGGTACTGATAAATTTTTGTCAAGTTGTCATTAGGTTGTCGAAAGCAGGAGGGGGATGGGAGCAGGGAGGAGGGGGTCAATGGGGACAGCTGTAATACTTTCAACAATAAAAAATTTTTTTTGTCAAGTTTTATTTCTCTGAAAAATTATTTTGTGGTGGTGGTAGAGGCGGGTGGGGGTAGGGGAGGTTTGTCAATAACCGATAGTCGACATGTGCGCCCCACCTAGCATATACAGCAAGTAGGAGCTGAGAATACTATCGCCCCGGGGCAGGGGTGGTGGAGACAGTGAAGGCAGAACTTGGCAAACTGACGTGCACAGGAATTGATAAAACGCAGGCTCCGACCCAGCAGGTGTGGGTGGGGCCGGGATGCTGCCCTTCTGGGCTCCCAGGGGACACTGATGTCCAGGTCCGCACAGCACACTCCGAGGAGGCTCCGGTGTGGGAGACATCCGCTATCCAATGGATTCAAAGTCCTCTTGGCATAAAGGAAAGGGAGTGATTTTGACCACTAATCTAATTTCAACCACTTTACTAAACTTCTTTTTTAGGTCAGTTTTTCAGTTTCTCTCTCTCTTTTTTTCCCCTAGGTAGCCAGTCATGTCATCTGCAAGTGATAGTAATTTTGTCTTTTTCTTTTCAATATGTATATCTTATGGATTTTATTTTTCTTGCACTTCTTCTGTGTCTAATGGAATTGCTTCTCGTGTTCCTCAGTCCCCTTTTTGAGTCTTTTTTTAAACAGATGTTTTAATTTCTTTTTTTTTATCCTCACCCGAGGACATTTTTCCATTTTTTGTTCAGATAGAGTAGAAGGGAGAAAGAGAGAGAGAGAATCATCGATGTGAAAGGGACACATCAAGTGGTTGCCACCCGCACGACCAACCAGGGCCAGGGACAAACTGCAACCAAGGCACGTGCCCTTAGCGGGAACCGAACCTGGGTCTCTCTGGACCACAGGCCGACGCTCTAACCACTGCACCAAACCGGCCAGGGCTAATTTCTTTTTAGTTATTGGACTATTAAGGTTTCCTACTTTCTCTTAAGTCAAATTTAGTAATTTATATTTTCCTAGAAAAACATGGCTTCAAATGAGTTTTTACATTTATTATTGGCATAAAGCTTTGCATATTATATTTTTATCATCTGAAATCTTCTTCTCTCTGCATTTAGTCCATTTTCTCACTTCTAATTTTACTGCCCATTTCTCTTTCTTTCCTTGATTTCATTTGCCACCGCACTTCATGGTTCTTTTCCAAGAAATGCGCATCACAGTAATTCACCCTGTAGTTTCCTCTTTTCCCGTTCACTGAATTGGGCTTGCACAGTCAGGTAGAAGTATTTTTCCAGGAGTACAGTTTTTTATTTCATCATTGACTGGATGTAAATTTCTCATTATCATTTCTAAAAAGTCTACAATTGCAGTTTTATTTCCTCTTTGATGTTAGTTCTATTTGGAAGACAGCTTTCAAATTCCTAAGTAATTAAAATTTTAAAACTTACACTTTTCCTAATGAGTTTATTTATTTATTTTTTGTTTTACATGGGTATAATAATGTAATCTGAACAATGTTTTCACAGGTATTTTTGCAAAAGTCGGTTTTGAAAAAATTTTTTCGATGGTTAATGTTTGTGGATAGTTCTCTGATGCTGGGAAAAAGTGTACTCACTATTCTGAGAATGCTTATCTATTTAAATCACACACAGCTCCTAAAACGACCTATGTTCTGGCCCCCTGTGCTGCCATGTGTTGAAGCATTTAATACTGTTTTGGTTTCTGTCCATTTCTCCTATTTCTTTTGTTTTGTGTATCTTGCTGCAAGGTTATATAATACACAAAGGTTATATCTTTATTGGAAATTTTCTTTTTTTTTTTTTAATATAAAGTAACTTAATGCTTTTGCCTTCTGCTATACTTTGTTCTACGTGTGCCACTTACAAACTACATAAAGTTGAATTTTCTCAACTCAAGCCATAATCATTGAGTTTTGTTGAGTCTTTGGTACTTGATGGCTCCAAATTATTCAAAGTTAATGGAATTAAACCACAATTCCTAAAATCGGAGAGAATCCAAAGTAAGATAGATATATGCCCACCTAGACACATCACATTAAAACTGCTGAAAACCAAAAATAAAGAAAAAGTCTTGAAGGCAGTCAAAGGGGGCAGGAAGGAAACTATTACATAGCAAGGAATAAAGGTAAGAATTACAGCAGACTTCTCCACAACTATGCAAGCCACAGAACAATAGAGTGACATCTTTAAAGTGCTTGGAAGTAAAACTAGCTTATAATCTTTTACCTAGTGAGAATATTTTTCAAAAATAAAGACAAAATAGAAATTTTTTAGGCAAATAAAAATTGAGAGTGTTCATTACCAGAAGATCCACACTATGAGAAATAAAGAAATGAAGATATTCAGAAATAGTTAGAATGAAGGTTTATATTAGCTTATATAAGACTCTTTTCTTCCTTTCAATCACTCTAGAGTATAGTAGACTGTCAGAAGCAAAGCTTGTAGCAATGCCTGGGGTTTATAACGTGTAGATATATGGCTGCAACAGCACAAACCATGAGAGGGGAATTTGGGGTGCACCATTGTGAGGTTCTGAAACTGTAAATGATAGTATCTGAAGGTAGACTGAAATGAATATTGCACACCCTGGGCCAGCACTAAAATAATCTGTAAAATAAGAAAAATGGCACCAGAGAACAAATGGGAAAAATAAACTAGCAATATAGTAGATTTTATTCCAAACCTATCAATAATGACATAAATGGAATTAACCTAAAGACAAATGAAAAGATAGAGGTTGTCAGATTAGAATTAAAAAGCAACTATATGATGTCTACAAGGAACCTGCTTAAAATATAAAGACATGGGTAGGCTAAGAGTAAAATGATAAAAAATAAAAATAGACCCTTACTTATTTATATACTTATTTATTTATTTACTTAATCATTTATCCATATCAATATAGGATGAGCTATTACTTTTTACTTTTAAAAAAAGGAGTAAGTTTTCACGGTGAGCACAGTTCTTTCTGCTAAAACAACCATGCCTCAAGCAGGGATGCCCCAGCAGTAGGCTTTTGACAGCTGGGTTTGCTGACCCCAGTGGTGATAGCAAATGCCCCTGCTTCAGAGAGGTGCTGTCATCCCCCCCAGTGGCCAGGGACCCCACTTACTGTAGCCCATCAAGGTGAGTGCTCCTATCAGCATAATCACCGTCTGCAGAGCATCCGTGTAGATCACAGCAGCCAGGCCACCTGGGAAGGGAGGGATGGGTACTGAGTTGAGGGTCAGGCACTCTGATGGAAAGGAGTTCCTCTGGGTCACAGAGGGGACCTGAAAGGTCAACACCCAACTGTGGAGATTCTCAGTGTCAATGGTCTGCAAAGAAGGCTACAATGCCTGTGGCCTGCGGTGCGTGCCCGTTCTGCAATGACTTTGCTGCTCCTTTGATATTGAGGTGAAGTTGATTTCTCTACCTCTCAAATATGGGCTTGGCCAAGTGACTTGCTCTGACCAGTAGGCCTCGAGGGGAACTTCCGCTCCTGTTCTTGCTCTTGGGTTGCCCCCCAAAACCACCATGCTTCTTTAAGAAGCACAGTCTAGCCCTGGCCAGTTTTCTCAGTGGTTAGAGCATCAGCCCATGAACTGAAGAGTCGTGGGTTCAAATCCAGTCAAGGGCACATACCTGGGTTGCAGGTTTGATCCTGGCCCTGGTCGGGTCGTGCGGGAGGCAACCAATCAATGTGTCTCTCTCACGTCGATGTTTCTATTTCTCTCTCTCTCTCTCCCCCTCCCACTCTGTCTGAAAATAAATAGAAAAATACTCTCAGGTGAGGACTTAAAAATAAAAAAGATGGTAGTCCAGCCCAGTGGATGACGGTCTGCCTAGAGGGGAGCTCAGCTGACAGCCTAGCTGACCTCTAGCGCGTGAGCGGAGGCCGCTGAGTCCCAGCCAGCTGCTCTAGGCATCGTCTAACTACAACTCAGCCGAGCCAGGCGAGACCAGCAGACACCCCATGAAATGGATTGTGGGCAACAATCCATCGTTTTAAGTCCCTAAGTTTTCAGTGGTTCATACACAATAATTTCTGAGTGATATAGGAATTGATGCTTGCGCCATAGCTCCAAGCTCTGAATCCTTTGGGGGTTTTTGTGTTGTTTTTAATCCTCACCTGAGGGTATTTTTTTATTCATTTTCAGATAGAGTGGTTGGGAGGAAAAGAGGGAGAGAGAGACAGAGAAACATTGATGTGAGAGACACATCGATTGGTTGCCTCCCACGTGACCCCAACCAGGGCTGGGGATCTAACCTATCGAACCACAACTGAGGTACATGCCCTTGACTGGAATCAAACCTGCAACTCTTTGGTCGGGTCTGAGGGCCGACGCCCTAATCGCTGAGCCAAACCGACCAGGGCTGAGTACCTTTGTTTTTAACATTAGAAAAAGAATGTGAAGTCTTCAGAGCCCCGACAGGCTTCCCGAGCAGGGCCGTGGCGGTTGGCCTCAGAGGGGTCCTGGCTTTGCCACCCAGGAAAGCTGTGGTAATTCCGGACCAGGCGGTCCTTCCTGTCTCGTCCCTGGATCTGCCTCCGTTCTTCCTCCCTTATGTGGTATAAACATGCTTCTCGTGGTCAAGGTCACTGTGCAATAAGAGTCCACGCACCTGGGCGCGGTGCTCTCCTTCCTTGCTGACAGGAATAGGGCCCTGTCCCAAGTGGGAGAGGCCCGGCCCGGCTTCTGGCCCCGTTGTCTGCGGTCTTCCCATGTGGTTCATCAGCCGGAGTGCAGCTAGGTCCTGAGCTTTGGTGCCTCTGAAACCCACCATCATTTCTATACTCACATGGTGGAGGATTTACCACGTGCCAGGCACTATGTTTAGTACTTTATGCGATCATTCACTGACGTCTGGTTAGTGCCCACCTAGTTCTACATGGGGGGACGCAGAGGCACAAAAACATCATGTTCCCTGTCCTCGCAGAGCTTGCAGTCTAATGGGGACAGACCCCCAAACAAGGAAACACAAAGATAAATTGGCAACTGCGACTCCTTCCCTTCCCCTGGGCTCCAGGCACAAGCTTCTCCCGGTGCTGAAAACAACGGTGGTCTCTCAACAGAGGCCTTTGCACTTGTCACTTCTCTGCCTGGGGCCCCCACCGGTGTCCGCGGCAGGGAGCCCTCGATACAGGCTCATTTTGTGTCGCAGGCTCCAGTCCCAGCCATTTGCGTCCCTGCTTCTCCGGCCAGCGGGGCACTGGGCACCACTGTCACCCTGGTCAGTGTGGGCGGGACACAGCCTCAGCCGCGTCAGCCCCCTTGCTGCCCCTCAAACAAGCAAACTGTGCTCTCATCTCAGAGCCCTTCCCTGTGCCTGGAGTTCTCTTCCCCTACACTCCGCATGGGCGCTCCCTTCACCGGCTATGTCTGGATCAAACACCGCCTCCGCATGGTTACCGGCTCCGGCTCCGATGTAACGATCCGCCCCTTCACTCCCCAGCTCACCCTGCTGAATTGTTCTGCATGGCACTTGTTAGGCTATGACAATGCACCCTGACATTGTTCAGTGGTTTCCTCGTTCACGTCTCCCATCCCCGCTCATATGTAAGTTCCTTTGGGACCAGGATTTTGTCTGTCAGCTTACTGCTTCACCCTCCTTCCCAGCATGCTACCCGGCATACAGTAGGGGATGTCTACACAGTGTTTACTGCTGCACCCTCCTTCCCAGCATGCTACCCGGCATACACTAGGGGATGTCTACACAGTGTTTACTGCTGCACCCTCCTTCCCAGCATGCTACCCGGCATACACTAGGGGATGTCTACACAGTGTTTACTGCTTCACCCTCCTTCCCAGCATGCTACCCGGCATACAGTAGGGGATGTCTACACAGTGGAATGAAGTCTGTGATACCAGCAAGGGCAGAGAGGAGGAGAAGGTGAGTATTCTAACCCAGATACTTGGTCAAGGCTCTGCTCTAGCTTGCCTCTGTTCTCGAATGCAGGCCTGAAGGGAATATGAGGCTGCCCAGTCTCAGGCCCCAGAATTAAAGTCGTGTAGGACCTAGCTTTGTTCAGAGCATGCAAATACATACTCTTAGCACCTTGTAGGTTCTCAATAAATAGGTCTTGAATCAATGGAAATAGCTCGATGCAGTTGTGGTACATTTTTAAATCCTCCCTCTTATTGGGCAGCCCCCTTCCTTAGGACAACAACAAGAGAAATCATATCTGGGGTAATGGAGTGAAGGTTTAATGAATAAGTGGTCCCAACATAGTGGAACACCAGAGGATAGGCCAGGAAAAGATGGAGTGGCTCAGTTCCTGCCCACCACACCTCCTCACATCACCTCGTATTCAATCATACCTGCAATAGTGTACAGAGCTGTGATGACCAACAGTCCAACTATGGCCAGGTACAGATCTAGTTTCAAAGACTGTTGAATAAAGATGGCACCTGCATACATGTCCACCTGTGGAAACATGGAAGTGGATGGATGGATGAATGGGTGGGTGGCTGGCTGGATGGATGGGTGGCTGGCGGGCTGGATGGGTGGGTGGATGGGTGGGGGGGTGGATGGATGGATGGGTGGATGGATGAATGGGTGGGTGCGTGGATGGATGGATGGATGGATGGATGGATGGATGGATGGATGGATGGATGAGTGGGTGGATGGGTGGATGGGTGGATGGATGGATGGATGGATGGGTGGATGGATGGATGGATGGGTGGGTGGATGGATGGATGGATGGGTGGGTGGATGGATGGATGGATGGGTGGGTGGATGGATGGATGGATGATGGATGGATGGATGGATGGGTGGATGGATGGATGGATGGGTGGGTGGATGGATGGATGGATGGGTGGGTGGATGGATGGATGGGTGGATGGATGAATGGGTGGGTACGTGGATGGATGGATGGATGGATGGATGGATGGATGGATGGATGGATGGGTGGATGGGTGGATGGGTGGGTGGATGGATGGATGGTGGATGGATGGATGGATGGGTGGGTGGATGGATGGATGGGTGGATGGATGGATGGATGGGTGGGTGGATGGGTGGGTAGATGGATGGATGGGTGGGTCGGTGGATGGGTGGGTGGATGGATGGGTGGGTGGATGGATGGATGGATGGATGGGTGGATGGATGGATGGATGAGTGGGTGGATGGGTGGATGGGTGGATGGATGGATGGATGGGTGGATGGATGGATGGATGGGTGGGTGGCTGGATGGATGGATGGGTGGGTGGATGGATGGATGGGTGGGTGGATGGGTGGGTAGATGGATGGATGGGTGGGTCGGTGGATGGGTGGGTGGATGGATGGGTGGGTGGATGGATGGATGGATGGATGGGTGGATGGATGGATGGATGAGTGGGTGGATGGGTGGATGGATGGATGGATGGATGGATGGTGGATGGATGGATGGATGGGTGGGTGGATGGATGGATGGATGGATGGGTGGATGGATGGATGGGTGGGTGGATGGATGGATGGATGGTTGGGTGGATGGGTGGGTGGATGGATGAATGGGTGGGTGGGTGGATGGGTGGGTGGATGGATGGGTGGGTGGATGGATGGATGGATGGATGGGTGGATGGATGGGTGGATGGATGGATGGGTGGGTGGATGGATGGATGGATGTGTGCAGCCCAGGTTCCCCAGCCTCGATTTAGGACCCAGCCTAGATCTGACAAACACAGAAGAGTCACATATTGTTGTTTCTTCATCCTGCTCCTTCCAGACTTGTGGTCTCAAACTGTACCCCTGTGGGCAATTACATGTGAGATTCTCTTCCCTGGGCTAACACAACAACCTCCTCAGTGGTCTTCCTGTTCCTACTCTTGGTCTTCTTACAGCCCGTCCTCCACAGTGCACCTAATCACGGTCTTCTCATCCTTTCCCCCCAACAAGGCTCTCCAGTGGCTCTCCAGGGCCCCGCGATGGTCTCAATTAACAAGCGAGAGTGTCACACCAGGCCCGTCGTGACCTGCCTGCCACTTGTCTCATTTCCTTTACTCACGTCCTACTCCCAGTCATCTGGGCACCCTGAAACACGCCACTTTTCTAACAATCATGCTCCTCCATGCCACCAAGCTTCGGCGAGTTCTGAGTGATCTCTCTGGAAGGCCAGTTTCCCTTTCTCTAAAGCCTTCCTCGGGCGGAGCTCCCCTGCGAAGGCTTCCCCAGGCATAGAGCCAGCTACTGCTCCACGAGTGGATCGCCTAGCCCCTGCGACCCCACACGGGACAAGCTGTCTCTGAGCCCAGCTGGACGGGAAGTCGGTGTCAGTGTGCGCCAGGCTGGCCAAGTGGCGTGTGCCCTGCTCTTGGCCACTTTCCAGGAGCTCTGCCCGTCCAAAGGTCGGGGCGGGGCGGGGCGGGCCAGGGCCATCAGCACGTCTGATTCACAGCTGATCACGGCTTATCTCTTGGGAGTGACAGTCAGTGACCCGAACATCCTGAGATGTTGCCAAAGCAGCTTTGGCAGGAGTGGGGGAGGGGTCCTTCCCTCTACCCTCTGCCCAGGCCTCCCCTCCCCCACCCCGCCCATCTCCTCTGCCCTCCTGGAGGCCTGCCCAGGAGAAGGAGACACCCCAGCAGGCTGGCACTCATCTCTCGCCACGTCCCCACCTTACCGAGATCTTGGTGAAGATGTAGATGAACAGGTAGAGCACGGCCAGGAGGATGGGGATCCTGTTGCCACCGAAGCGTTTCCTGAGGTATTCTGGCATCGTGGTGACCTGGGGGCCAGAGCTGCACTTTCACCACCCGCCGGCCCTGGCCGCGGCCTCAGGCCCCAACCCTCCCCCACCGCCCCGAACTCAGAAGCACAGGGGGTCTTGGGATTCTCAGTGGGGGAACTCAGGAAGGGAGGAGAAAATGGGAGCAGAGGTGGGGTGCGGAGGAACTGGGGTTCCGCGCAGGGGTATGCACCCATCAATCACACTTCCCAAATGGGAGCGTTCGTGTACCCCATCCCAGTTTGTGCCCTCTTCACTATTATTAATTACTAATGTTTTTCTTTCAACTAACTCACATTTTTATTTAAATAAATGGATCTAAAAAGGAGATTTCAAATCAGCACTGTAAATGGAAAATCAATTCTAAATTTATGGGAACCAGCAAAAATAAACGCACAGATAATCGAACAATTCATTAATTTTCTCTTCGTTGTTGGCAACTGCTGTTGCACACCAACGATCCGGGGCCCTGAGCCCACTCATTCTTTGAAAAACAGAAACGAAAGGCAGAGTGGTTGGAGCAGCCCCGGACAGGGACGGAAACACCAGCACCGTGGGACTGTGCCTGGACCTCAACGAACAGCTGGCAGGCTGCAGGGCCGCTGGCCTGTGCCCAGCACCTCGAGTCATGTCAGCGACCCCCATCCGTCCGTGCTTTAGACTCCGGGAGGGCCGCTGTGCTGAGGCCCTTTCCCAGGACACCAGGAACATCAGGGAGTTCTCATGGCTAACGCAGTGGGCTCCAGGGAGGACAGAGAACTCCGTCACCAGGAGGCACTGCCTCGGGTGGGTGGTCCAAAGCCAGGTGTCCTTACCATATGGGACACCCCAGGGACTGAGCCATTTGTTGAGAACATCACTTGGGCGGCACTGTTCTGGGGTTTGGCATGTCCTCTCCCGATCGCCTCATCCCCCTGTATTCCCGGAGGTGGGGTTGAGAGAATGTTATGTTAGCCTCTGGGACCTCGAGCCAACCACTGTTCTCCACGAGGTGCGAGGTCTCGGACGGGAAAGGACAGAGGAGTGGTGGTATTTGCAGACATGTCCGCAGCTCCTCCTCCAGGCTGCTGCTGGGACCTGACCGTGAGGAAGGGCAAAGCCTCCGCGCCGGGTCGGACTGTGCAGGCAGAAGAGGCTGGGAGGGGAGACGAGGGGACTAGGTGACCCGACTTGACACAGGAATACTACATCGGATCTGGTACTCGAGACTAGAAGGTATTCAGCATAAAAGTATTTCAATTTTGATATATGTTTGATGTTTTTTTGTCATAAAATATTCACAAGAAATGAACTGCGGGAATACATGGACATTTTAAAATAGAAGAAAAGAACAAAGCTTCTCTTTTCTCCTCTTCTTCCGGAAAGAGCAGTTTGGGACTCTGACCCTCATGCATGTCTGGCCTGCACCCTCCGGCCTGCGCAGGGCAAACGGCTGGGGTTTTTCAGCAGCACTTTGTCCTGAACTCGGACGCTCTCTGGGAGCACCAGAGACTCAAGCACGCATGTGGAAGGAGCACAGACCTGGTGAAGGTCTGAGAGCCGGTTAGCGGGGGCATGGAGGGCTGCACCCCACTCAGGCGAGAGGGTTCATGCTCTCCTCCGCGAAGGAGAACCACCAGCTGGGCTTGTGGGGCTGACCCCTGCCTCGGGCTGCAGCCTTCACCCCTCGGGATCTCGGCAGGACGTTTCTAACGAGCTAAGAAAGGCGGGAGGGACGGAGTCTGCAGAGGTGAGCGGCACTGGTGTCCAGAAATTAAACCCTGGAGAGAAACGGGAAGCTTGCCCACGGACGAGAGGCAGAGCCTAGGCTGTTGGCGGTCAGGTCCCCAAGAAGGTAGTTTGCCAGGCAGCAAGGTTGGGACAGACAGACAGACAGAGGCAGAGAGGAGGCTGCTAATGGGGAACCGCACCCTGGTGGTTGCTGGGTGCGTGCTAATAGGGAGCAGAGTGACTCCGGTCGGAGAGATGAGGGCTTCGCTCCGCACCTCCCCAGGGGTGAGGGCGGCCAGGTGACCCCATCTGTGCATCTCCCATCACTCAGGTAAAGCCCTCCCTCTCGGAAACCGCCCTGCCCGATCCCCCAGAGCCCGGCCCAGCACCCAGCGGGATCCAGGTCCCTCTTCCTTCCTCTCTGGTCCCGTCTGCGGCCACGCCCTGCAGTGTCCTACCCGGCTCCGCCCCAGCAACAGTTGGTCATTTCCCCTTCAGCCACCTGTCTCTTGGGCCACCCTGAACCCTGCCAGCTCCAGGCCCCATTCCCCTCTGACCCCACATCTTCATCAGAGCAGCTCTCCTGGTCGCGGGCTCGGACAACCTGCGGTGGGACTGACCAGGGCTTCCAGGCCCTCGCGGGGCCTCTTCTCGTGGGGACCGGTCCATCCCTCACTTCGCTGCTCTCCGATTCATGTGAGACCCTGCTGGTGAGTCATCTCAACACATGTGCATTGGGCATCGACCGCGGACCCGACACTATTCCAGACTCTGGGGGGAAACGAGATGGTTCCTGCCCCCGGCCTCACAGTCCAGCGGGCTGCAACACGCTCACCCAGCACGTAAGCGAACGACTGAAATGCTGCGGCTCACCAAAAATATATTTTTGCTGATCTGGCAAAAAATAGGTATACTTTTGGGTTATTCACACTGAATGGCTATAGTTGTGTTGGCTGTTGTCATTTTTGTTTTGTTTTTAATCCTCACTGGAGGATATTTTTCTATTTAACTTCAGATAGAGTGGGAGGGAGGTAGAGAGAGAGAAACATCGACGTGAGAGGGACACAGCAACTGGCTGCCTCCCGCACGGCCCCGACCAGGGCCAGGGACTGAACCGCAACCCAGGTATGTGCCCTTGACCAAAATCGAACCTGCAACTCTGGTCCACTGGCTGACGCTTTAACCGCTGAGCCAAACCAGCCAGGGCAGCTGTTGTCATTTTTAAATTTGACAATGGAAAGGAAAAGAGGTCAGTGCCCCGGACTAAATAGTCAGGTATTATTGCATGTGTTAAAAATTCTTGCATCTTTGAGCCAAGGAAGATTCTGTACCTTCACAGGGAACAGTTGGCAAGGTCTGCACACATTCCAGCTGCCACAGTTTGAGGGGTGCTACTGGCATCTAGTGGGTGGAGGCCAAGGATGCGGCAAACGTCCTGCAGTGCACAGGGAGCCCCTCCCCCAACACACACAGCACAGAATCAGCCAGCCCAGCATGTCACCACGGCTGAGGGTGAGGACGCTGGTCTAGTGGGAGGGGGGGGGGCATGAAGTCCAGTGGGAGAGGCATCTTAATTTATAATCACATAAGCAAATGGAAAACAGCAACTATGGCAAACACAGTAAGGACGATTTCACCTCATCATAAACGTCAGGGGGCTTCCTAGAGGAGCCAGTAGGGCTTGGAAGAGGAACAGGAGCGAATGGCACCATGACGGGAAGGAAAACTTTCCGGCCAGAAGGAGAGCATCCTAGCGGCCGAGGAAGAGAGGGCCTGATGAGGAGGAGAAACTGGCAGGAGCCAGCCCGCAGCTCAGTGATACGGCTTTAGTGAATGAATGAATGAACGAACGGACGAACGAACGAACGAACGAATGAATGAAACTATGGGAGACCGCTGTGGATGGAGAGCAGGGTGAAGTGCAGTTTATTTTCCATATTGATAAGTAAAGTTGGTCTGTAATTTTTTTGATGGGTAGTATTAGCATTATCCTATTCTCAAAAATGATGGACAAAAATTTGTTCTAGGTGGATAATTAACTGAACTGTGCAAAGTTCTAGAGAATAACCTAGGAAAATATCTTTTTGACCTGAAGTAGGAAAAGATTTTATAAGGCAAACCCTAAAAGGCAGGAAAAGGTGATGAATGTGATGACATTACAATTGGAATCTGTTTATCAAAACACCATTAAGAGTGTGAAAAGTAAGCCACAGAGTAGGAAAAAGTGATATTTGCATCACATGTAATCATATACAACCATCCTAAAGGCTGTTTCCAGAATAAATAGAGAACTATAAATCAGTAAGAATCTACACAGCCTAATAGAAAAGTTGGCAAAGCTCCTAGACAAGTTACTTCCCAAAAAAGGAATTCAAATGGCTAGAACATATATAAATAGGATTGGCAATTGAAAACAAAGTGAGACACCACCATACACCCACCAGATTAGCAAGAATTTTTAAGTCAGAAAATACCAGTGACAGTCCGGTCAGGATGGCGGGTAGGTAAACACGGTCTCGCCTCCTCCCACAACCACATCAAAATTACAACTGAACTACAGAACAACTATCATTCAGAACCTCCTGAAACTGAGCTGAATGGAAGTCCTACAACTACAAAATTAAAGACAGAGCCACACAGAGACTGGCGGGAGGGCAGAGGCGTAAACGGGCTGGCCCCACACCCACGCGTGGTGGATAAAAATCAGGAGCACACCTTGGCTGGAAAGGTCCTCCCTGAGGAGTGAGGGGTCCCCATCCCACACCAGGCACCCCACTCAGGGTTCCAGCACCAGGAAGAGAATCCCCATTACTTCTGGCTGGAAAAACCAGTGGGAACTGAGGCTCAGGGAGGCTGAGGCTTCTGGAGCCCCAGGCAGCTCCTTAAAGGGCCCGAGCACGGACTTACTTGGACTTGCTCCCTCCAGGCTCCAGATTGGGGAGGCAGCTTGAAAGGCACCACAGACATACGGGGAAGAACTGAGTTGTTTGGCATTGGGATGAGAGCTGGAGGGGCAGCTTTCTCCCGGACAGAAGTGCTGGCGGAACCCATTGTTCAGACAAACACCATATCTGGGACTCCAGCAACCTGGCTCACATTGTTTGCCCCGCCCTGGTGACTCCCTGAGGCCCCGCCCCACCCAACTTTCAGGCCCACCCAAGCTGTTTCCAGTGGCTTTACCATAGGAATGACTTGTCTTGGCTCTTGTTTCAGATTTTTCTAAATTCTCTTAAAAAAAGCAGCATCTCGCCTCAGTGAGCCCCATACCTCTCACTAACTGGCCCCAGGCCTGGTACTAGGAGCAGCCAGCCTTGGTTCACAACTAGGCTTTGCCTGGGCACCTCCAAGCTTAGCACAAGAAGCAGCCACCTGCAGATCACTTTGTAGCTTATGCGTGGTGGTACCAGGTATAATATAGGCAGTGGCTGACCTTGCCCCAGAGCCAGCACACCCAGTGGACAGCTTCAGACCACATCAAAACACCACCACCCAACCACCTCCACAAGTGACACACTCAAGGAGTGGACTCAGTGGGTACCAGAGCCCTGCTGAAGTAAGTCTTGCTCTGTGTGATGGGCCCTGCACAGCTGATCCTCCAAGGTAGTCAGAGGCCAGTGGGCAGTGGGCACAGCCAGTCCTTGCAGCTGATCAGCCTGAATAAATCCCTCCCACTGATGTGCCAATGCAATCAAACATCAATTACAACAAAAGGGTAGACAGTCCACATGAGGGGTGTACCTTGAAGGCCCCCAGCTAGGGTGATCAGGGAGGCTGTGCTACTGGATCCTACAGGACACCTACTACAATAGGCCTCCTTAGGAAGCCTAGAAAACATAGCAACTCTACCTATTACATAGAAACAAACACAGGGAGGCAGCCAAATTGAGGAGACAAAGAAACATGTCCCAGATGAGAGAACAGAACAAAACTCCAGGAAAATAATTAAACAAAAAGGAGATAAGCAATAGAACAGATGCAGAGTTCAAAACATTAGTTAAAAGGATGTTCAATGAACTTACTGATGGCCTCAAGAGCATAAAAAAGGACCTGTCAGAAATGAAGGATGCACAGTCAGAAATGAAGTCGGTACTAACTGAAATAAAGAATAATTTACACAGATTCAATAGTAGAGTAGGTAAAGCTAAGAAACAAATTATTGATTTGGAATATAAGGAAGCAAAAAACACTCAATCAGAACAGCAAAAAGAAAAAAGAATCCAAAAAAATGAGGACAGTGTAAGGAGTCTCTGGGACAACTTCAAGCATGTCAACATTCTCATCATGGGGGTGCCAGAGGAGAAAACAGAGAGCAAGAAATTAAAAATCTATTTGAAAAAATAATGACAGAAAACTTCCCTAACTTGGTGAAGGAAACAGACATACAAGTCCAGGAAGTACAGAGAGTCCCAAACAAGATGAACCCCAAGAGGCCCACACCATGACACATCATCATCAAAATGCAAAAGATTAAAGACAAAGAGAGAATCTTAGAAGCAGCAAGAGAAAAGCAGTTAGTTACCTACAAAGGAGTTCCCATAAGACTGTCAGATGATTTCTCAAAAGAAACATTGCAGGCCAGAAGGGAGTGGCAAGAAATATTCAAGTTGATGTAAAGCAAGGACCTACAACCAAGATTACTCTATCTTGCAAAGCTGTCATTTAGAATCAGTGGACATATAAAGAGTTTCTCAGGCAAGAAAAAGCTAAAGGAGTTTATCACCACCAAAACAGTATTATATGAAATGTTGCAGTCTTCTTAAAGAGAAAGAATATAAAAAATATGAACAACAAAATGGCAATAAATACATATCTATCAACAACTGAATCAACAAACCAAATGAGCAAGCAGAGCAGAAACAGACTCATAGATATAGAGAACTTTGTGTTGGTTGTCAGATGGGAGGGGGCTTGGGGAGATGGGTGAAAAAGATGAAGGGATTAAGAAGTACAAACTGCCCTGGCCGGTTTGGCTCAGCGGTTGGAGCGCCGGCCTGCGGTACAGAGAGACCCGGGTTCGATTCCCACTAAGGGCACGTACCTCGGTTGCAGTTTGTCCTGGGCCCTGGTTGGTCGTGCGGGTGGCAGCCACTCGATGTGTCCCTTCACATCGACGTTTCTCTCTCTCTCTCTTCCCCTCTCTCCCTCCTGCTCTATCTGAACAAAAAATGGAAAAATGTCCTCGGGTGAGGATAAAAAAAAAGAAGTACAAACTGGTTGTTAGACTGCTGAACCTCAAAGGGAAGGGGGGGTGGAAAGAGATAAACCAAAGAATGTATATGCATATGTGCATAACCAGTGGACACCAACAACAGTGTGGGGACGGCTGGAGGGCAGCAGGAGCAGGGAGGAGGGGTCAATAGGGCGAAAAGGAGGGAACATTTGTAATACGTTCGACAATAAAGGTAAGTTTAAATAAGTAAAACTAAAGTAAAAAAGAAAATACCAAGTGACGGCAAGCATGTGGAGTGACGGAGCAAAGGGTGTTCGCAGGTACGGCCGGCGGGAGGACAGCTGGGGACCACTCCGGGGGCAGCGTGTCTAGTCAGCCAGGTAACACCTCCAACGACCTGGCGACTCCGCCCCCAGGTGTCTCTCCACAAGCACATGCTTATGTCCATCAGGACACTCGTATCCAGAGGTTCATAGCAACCTTGTCCATCACAGCCTAACTCTGGGCACTGCGACCCACAAGCCTGTGACAAGAATGGACAGGTGTATCTTGGTGTCGTCTCCCTACATAATATTCCATAGCGATGAAAATGAGCACATCAGCCACATGCAACGAAAGAACATGTTAGCTGATTCCATGTCCATATATAGGTTTAAGAGGTAAAACTAAGCCGTACTGTCTAGTTTTGCATAATTAAAACTGAGAGAAGCAAGGGCGTGAGTAGGAGGAACGTGGAGGAGAGAGGGAGGCGTTGACATCTGCTGGCACGTGGGTGAGACTGTGACGTCCTACGTCTTGATTTTACTATGGCTTGTGAAGCTGTTTGCTTGTGTTTTATCACTCTTCTGTGTGTCTATTTTATTTCCCAATAAGACTGAATTGGGGAGCTTTTTATGTTTTCTTGGCAATGACAGTCCTCTGGACGCCAGTCCTCTTCTGGTAGACACGTGGTTGTCCCGGGCTTCCTGTCACAGACAACGCCAGCTCAGGCCCTGCCTCCCTTCTCCACCTTCAGCCACACTAGTGCCTTCCTCGCTCTGAGCGGATGGCACAGACTTCCACTTACCCCAGAAAATGAAACCACAGCTGAGAACACCTGGCCACCCTACCTGTGAACTAACCTGCATCTCCACCATCCTTGGTGTCTAACCCATAGTAGGTACTCAGGAATACTGACTGACGCTTTGGCCCAGAGACCCTCACACTCCGACCGGGGCTGGTATGACGCAGATATTTTGTCTATACAGGAGCTAGTCACAGCGGGGACCGCAGACCCAGGCCCTCCCCCCACCGACGGCCGTGCTCGTTTAGGCTCAGTATTATTTAAAAGTTAGGTGTTTTTTTAATCCTCACCCAAGGATATTTTTCTATTTATATTCAGATAGAGTGTGAGTGTGTGTGTGTGTGAGAGAGAGAGAGAGAGAGAGAAACATCAACGTGAGAGAAATACATTGACTGGTTGCCTCCCACATGACCCCGATCAGGGCCAGGGACCAACGCAACCCAGGCACATGGCCTGGACCGGAACGGAACCTGAGGGCCGACGCGCTAACCACCGCGCGACCCGGCCCGGGCAGCCAGTGAGGTTATTTATCCCTGCTCCACTGCCCTCTGCACAGACTTCGCTGCTTCCTGCACAGAGGGACTCACACGGCTTCTCTCGTCATTACTCAGTTCTTTCTACTATGTGTATTTTTTAAATTTTCATCTGGAAGGTGAAAGTCAGTTGCTGCTCTAGAGCAGCACCCTGGTCCTGTGCATGCCGTGAGGCAGAGCACCTCCACGGAATTAGGCCTGCACGGGACACGTGGCCGGAGCTGTCGGGAAGATCAGGAATAATTTCCAAAACTGCTTTTACAAAAATTCCGAAGCAGCATTATTTGGTAACAAAAATTATGGCATTTCCTATCAGTTAGAAATAACTCAACTATTATAGTTTTGCATGCAAAGGAAGAAAAAACACTGAATTAGATTTTTTTGTTAGTTAAAAGGAGTAACGTGTTATACCTTAAACATTCAGAGAGGCTGCAAGTTTCACATTTGGTTGTGGCATTAAAAGACGTATTTTTGAGCCCATGTTCCTCCAGCCTCTGAAAGCCCGTGTGTACCTCTGTCGCCCGTTACTAGGTGGGGACTGCTGGGGACAGGTTTCTCATTGTCTCACCTGTGCCTCATCCCTCTCCAACGCTGGGACCTCCCGGGACTGCCCTGGATGCAGAGGGAGGGACATTGGGTGGGGGGAGGGAGTGCAGGCTTGTCCCTCCCCAAAGGGCTCCTGGTCCCAGTGCCCCGCCCCTCAGACTCACCTGACCCGCAATGTAGATGGGGAGGAAGACCCAGGCCAGGGTCAGCACGGAAAAGACGCCCTGCGGAGCAAACCGAGTCAGGAGTCAGCTTCCCGCCACGCCCAGGTGCCTGGCTTCTGCCGCACCTGGAGGTGACCTGGTCGCTTGTGCCTCTGCGTCATCCGTCATCCGTCAGTCTCTTACTCGCTGAGTGGCTCACCCTCCCTGGACGTCACATTTTCCTGTTTAAATGGGAGGAGGGGATGGAGAGGGACACAGAGAGAATCCTGGCACAGCGTCTCCTGAGCTCACCGCGGCCCCTTCCTGCCGGGGCATCCCCTCCGTCCATCGGCCGTGGTCGGGCCGGCCACCTGGAGGGTGGTTGCTGGTGCCAGAAGAGCTCGCCGGGTCTCCAGACCCATTTCTGTCACCTGTGGAATGGGCGTAGCAGAGCCCGAGGTCGCGAGGCGGTGAGGCAGGCGAGGCTCCGGGCACAGGCTCTCCTCCATGCCTTCTGCGGGCACCGTCCCCTCCACCCTCGCAAGGACACACGTGGCAGGTACTGTCATCATCCTACTTGTACTATTATTATCCCCTGTCATACACTTGCCCAAGGTTACACAACAGTGAGTGTTGCGGCCTGGCTGCGGCCGGCAGCCTGCATCTGGCCCGTCACATAACAAGCAGTGGCACAGAGTCAGCACCAAAGGTTACTCATAGATGAAGGTCACTTTCCTAAGTGCATCCCCTCCTCCTCTGCAAATTGCACCGAGGGAGCTCCGCTGCACAAGGGTGTGCCCTGTCCCTCAGCTGTCGTGGGGTGGCCCGAAGGTCGAGAGCCCGTGAGCCACACGATGTGCGTGCAGCCAGCTGGGATCTGACCCACCGAAACACCCAGTCCCGGGACCTTCTGTCTTCTCAGCCACCAGGGAAACACTCCGGGCCCTTTCCTCACACATCTGCTCCTTGGGGTCCTGGCCTCAGGGCCCCAGCAAGCAGACCCCCGGAGGCCTGACATTTTTGCCAACCAGGGTGCCTTGACGTTTCCGTAAAGCACGCTCTGTTGTTAAAGTGCGGCGCATTCACGCAGCTGCCCCAGGAGCTACGTGTTAGGTAGAGTGAGCTGCCCGCTCCTTGGTGACATACTCACGTTGAACTCATAAGCAGCCACAGAAATGCCCGCAGCAGCGCCTGACCCCGCCAGGCCTACAAAATGTCCGCTTCCTATGTTGCTGGCAAACAAGGACGCACCCACCTGTGGGGAGACAGACAGGTGACAACTTGGAGCCCAGGTCTGGGTACCTCCTCCCCCTCCCAGTTCTTCCCACGCTCCTAAAGGACGACGACAAAGGGGAAGTGCAGGAGACAAGGCCATTCCTAGGTTATCTGGCTTTTTCTCCAAATTAGAAAGACTCTTTCCCGGAGATTGTTTACTTCCATGTGTCATCAATTAGCACAGTAAACACGCAGGTCCCTGTTGCCCCAAACGAGAGCCATGCCTCCTAGGGTTATGCAGCGCCAGATTTGACGGCAGCATCCCTGGACGGGAGGGTGACAGGTCTTGTAGAAAGTGCTTCACGATGAGTCAGGAGGCCTGTGTTAGTCCCAGGTTTGCTTCTGAATCAGCAAAGCAGGGAGCCCTCCTATCAGATAGATAGATGATAGATAGATAGATAGATAGATAGATAGATAGATAGATAGATAGATAGATGATAGGTAGATAGATAGATGATAGATAGATGATAGATAGATAGATAGATAGATAGATAGATAGATAGATAGATGATAGATAGATGGATAGATAGATAGATGATAGGTAGATAGATAGATGATAGATAGATAGATAGATAGATAGATAGATAGATGATAGATAGATAGATAGATAGATAGATAGATAGATAGATAAAAATATAAAGAATAAACAGAGGGGGAAACCAGGTCCTAATAATATCACTTGAACCTCTGTACTCAGTCATAACTGAACCCCTAGATTTTTCCTCAGGTGAGCTGAAACATTCTTTTTTGATTAAACACACTTGAGTTGGACCTAAGTCTTCTCTGGTTTATATTGTGACTTCCACACAACATGTAACCAAAGAGTCCTGAGAAAGCAAAGTCTAGACAGGACACCAGCACTTGAAAATTCTTTGAGAAGTGACTTTAATTGAACCAAAGACCACTTACAGGCCACCACATCATGTCCCCTCCAGCTAGGAAGTAGCCTTTCACTGTGTCTCTCTTGGTCTTCACTGTGGACTAAAACAAAGAAGAAGAAACATGGGTGAGGGAAAATATTAACAAACAGAGGCATCCCAAAATAGCCTAGGCTGCCGATGACAAAGTGAGAGTCCAGAGGGCCAGATTTAAACATCAAATATATTTTGGTTGACCCATGGTTATAAAGAAGATTTTAATTCGAATGCTTTTAGAAGAGGCATAAACTCTTCAAGGCAACACAGCCCCGGTCAGTCCCTGCTTCACACATTGGTGATAGCCTACGTGGCCCCTAGGCATGTAAGTTTCAACCCCAAGGCTTATCTGTACTATCTCATAATGTGTATCATTTACTCCCTTAGCACAGGGATAGCGTTCTGCTCACACGGCGTCAGACACTATGCCAAGCATTTTAAAGCATTCTCTCATTTTAATTCTCACTAACTCCAGGGAAGTTGGAAGTTGGTAAGAAACTGAGGCTCAGAATTAGAGTCACGTGTCTCATGACACATTTTCAGGTCACAGAAGGGACAGGAATTCAAGCCTAGTTCAGCCTGATTTTGGAACTCATGTTTTTTTTTTTTTTTTTTTTTTTTTTTTTTTTTTTATCCTCACCTGAGGACATTTTTCCATTTTTTGTTCAGGTAGAGTGGGAGGGAGAGAGAGGAACAGAGAGAGAGAGAGAAACATCGATGTGAAAGGGACACATCGAGTGGCTGCCACCCACACGACCAACCAGGGCCGGGGACAAACTGCAACCGAGGTACGCGCCCTTAGCGGGAACCGAACCCGGGTCTCTCAGGACCGCAGGCCGACGCTCTAACCGCTGAGCCAAACCGGCCAGGGCGGAACTCATGTTTTTAACTGGTCTACAAAACCATCTTTAAAAGAAGAAAGCTTCCTGGCACTGAAGGTGTTTTAATGCAGACATTTGACCACTAAGTAGTGTGTGTGATATTGAATAAGTTGTTTAAATCCTCTCAGCCTCTTGATGTGAATGTTGGTGAGGAGACTCACTGGATGAGAGATGGCATAATCTGGTATGTTTTCATCTCTGCAAATAATCCTCCTATAGAAAATAGACACTATAGAGTGATGTCAGCATCATGGCGAAGTGGGATGATGCCTTTGTATCTCCCCTTAAATCTGTAACTAGTTGGACATCTATAATTCAACAGAGGTTCCTCTGCTCAACACACTAGCATAGCTGAGAGAGCCACATCGGTACACGCGAATGTGGGTGTATTGGTTTGCGTAGGGGGGCAGGAGGGAGGAAGGACAGACACAGTTCCTCAGGCTGCTGCAGCTGAGCTCACAACCCCAGCCAGTGGGGGGGAGCCAGGGTGCAGCCCTGCAATGCAGCCTGGAGGAGGGTAAAGGGGCCGAAGCAGTGTCAGTGCCTGAAAATGGGCTCCCTCCCCCGATTGTGCTGGAGCTTGGCAGCAGCAGGGGACACATCCATGCCTCTCGGTGCAGCACAGTGGAGTCAGCAGCCACAGGGAGCCAGGTGACAACAAATGGGCTCAGGAACCCGGCTCCCTCCAACCAGCCACATCCCCTAGTATGGTGGTGCCAGGAGACCCAGGAGGTCTAGACATAGCAGGAGCACCCGCCACCCTGCTACCCAGGCAGTGACTCCAACGACCACAGTGACACCTCTCCACCATGACCCCGCAGGCACAAGTCACATAGGTAAGAGAAAACAAACAAACAAAAAAAACATGCACTAGAAAGTTTTTCTGCCGGAAAACAAAAGAAAGACCTCTAATTATAAACCTACTGAATTGTTAAAAATCACAACGGTACCTAAACAAGAAAACTGTTCACTACTTCAGATGTGGCATCAGAGGAGCGACCCATCAAGCACCGCAACCAAGGTGACATAGTAACACAAATAAATGACAATTCTCCAGAAACCAAAGTCAAACTCTTGGAAAACGGGGACATAAAGGACAAAGAATTCAAAATAGTAGTCATGAAAAAACTTAACAAGACACCAAGAAACTCAGAAATGTAACTCAGTGAGCTCAGGGATAAAAGTAATACGTAGAAGAATACTTTACTAAAGAGATTGGAACTGTAAAAAAAGAACCAGAGAATCCAAGATAGCAGTGGACTACGTGGAAACTATACTCAACTCCTCTCTGGACCAAACTGGAATTATGCCTAAATTACAGAATAATCATCCTGAATAACCGACCGAAGACGAGCTGAAGAGAAGGCTTATGACGGGGTTTACAGAAGAAGTCACTTCAAGATTGGTAGGAAGAGTGGACACACGAAAAGGGCTGGCCCTGCTCCCGTGGGCGGTGGCTGAGGCTCCAGAGAGATATCTCAGCTGTGTGGTGTTCTCCCTGAGAAATGTGGGTTCTCAACCCCAAACTAGGCTCCCCAGCCCAGAGCATCAGAGCCAGAAAGAGCCACCCACACTGGCTGTAGGGTTTCTGTTCATCAGGGAGAGACAAGAGTCCCTAGAGACACAGGCACCCTCTTAAAGGGCCAATACACAACATTTCATTTGCAACCACTTACCCTGGGCTCCAGCAAAGGGAGAGTGGAGTGGACTAGAGTCACGTGAGGAGAGTCTAGGGTTTGTGGTTCTGGGGAGAGAGCTGAGGGGACAACTAACAAAATCCCTGTTTTGAGTCCCTCTCCCATTCCACAGATGCCGTCTCTTTTGGGTGGAGCATGCCCCTCCTTGCCCCATCAGCCTGGGGGAGTGCAATAGCCCCGCCCTCTAGACTACCTGTCACTCCACCCTGTGAAGCTTACACCCTCTGAGGAGTCAGCTGCCTTGGCCAGGGTGTAGAGGTTTGGGTAGATTTAAGGGGTGTCAGTAACTGAGTTGTGTGGCTTTGAGGTGGAGCCTACACGCCCCCCACTTCCCTGAAGCCCGACCAGCACCTCCTCCTCATGGGAGATCCACTAACCTCATCTTTCCAACTCCTGGCAGCCCCACTCTACTGAGCTCAGTCTCCTTCCTGCAGACTATGTGACAGAGTTCTGTGGCTCGAGGATCGGGGCCACTTTTTTCTCTCACCTGCCTGACCTGAGCAGAACCCTTCCTTCACACAGCCAAATCTTGTTCTGTTTGGGCCTGTCGAGCCCACTGGCCTACCATGACGCCCCCTGAGACCCTGCCCCACTACAGAGATATGCAATCACCCAGCAGGTGGCAGCTAGACCTGGTGTACCCAGGGACATTTGCTGAGTGGCCTCAGATCCAGCACTGGCACCAAGGTTGAATCTGTATCAATCAGGTGAACGCCACTCACCAATACCTGCTGATTCACCAAGAACCTACCTCATGCAACTCGAGTACCACTGAGGCATTTTTCAGTGATTGAGCTGTCAGGTGGAGGTGGATCTTGGGGTGCCTTAAAACTTTTGCTGAGCCCTGGCCAGTTTGGCTCAGCGGTTAGAGCATCAACCTGCAGTCCAGAGAGACCCAGTTCGGTTCCCACTGGGGGCACGTACCTCGGTTACAATTTGTCCCTGGCCCTGGTTGGGTCATGCGGGTGGCAACCACTCAATGTGTCCCTTTCATGTCAATGTTTCTCTCTCTCTCTCTCCCTCCCACTCTATCTGAACAAAAAATGGGAAAATGTCCTCGGGTGAGGATAAAAAAAGAACCCAACATTTGCTGACCTGCCCCCAGGCCCAGTACTAGTAAAAGCCAGCCTTGATGCACAGCTCGGTCCTTCTTGCATGCACCCAGGCCCAGCAGAGGCAGCTACAAACTGTGGGTTGCTTGTAGCTCCAAATAGGTTGCCCAGAGCACCATCTGACATTGGCCTGCAACAGCGTTCCTCTCAAGAGGCCCAAAACCAACACACTCAGTGGCCAGCTTCAGACAACACTAGAGCAAGATCTAATAAGCTTCACAAGAGGCATATTCAAAAGGAGATCTCAGCAGGCATCAGAACCTGCTGAGGTGAATTCTGCTTCATTTGGGCAGCGCCTGCACAGCCATTTGCCAGGGTTCAGGGTTGAGCCTCAGAGTCAGCCAGCCTCAGGGTTGATCCCACACATGAAAGGGCCAGTAGCAATCAAAACTCAACTACAACAGGAAGACCCACATGACCCACACAAGGGACATTCCTAGAGCACCCAGCTCAGGTGATCAAGGAGACTGCACCACTAGACCCCACAGGATACTTACTACATAAGGCCACCCCACCAAGTCTGGGAGTTGTAGCAGATCTATCTAATACATAGAAATAAACACAAAGAGGCAGCCAAATGGGGAGACAAAGAAACATACCCCAAGTGAAAGAACAAAAAACATCTCCAGAAAAAGAGCTAAATAAAATGGAAGTAAGCAATTTATTAGCTATAGAGTTCAAAGCAGTGTTTATAAGAATGCTCAACAGCACAAAAAAAGTCAAAGAAACCATAAAAAAGAACCAGTCAGAAATGAAGAATACAATATTTGAAATAAAGAATACACTAGAGGGAATCAACAGTAGACTGGAAGAAGAGGGATGGAATCAGTTGGAAGACAAGGTAGAAGGAAACACCCAATCAGAGCAGCAAAAAGAATTTAAACAAATAAGGATAGTTTAAGAGACCAATGGGACATTATAAAGCATAACATATCTGCATTATAGGGGTACCAGAAGGAAAAGAGAGAGAGAGCAAGGGATTGAGAACCTATTTGAAGAAAGAATTACCAAAGACTTACTGAATCTGGTGAAGGAAAAAGAAATACAAGTCTGGGAAGTGCAGAGAGTTCCACACAAGATGAACCCAAAGAGGACTGCACCAAGACACATCATAATTAAAATGTCAAAGGTTAAAGACAGAATCTTAAAAACAGCAAGAGAAAGACAGTTACCTAAAAGGGAGCTCCCATAAGACTGTCAGATGATTTCTCAATAGAAACATTTCAGGCCAGAAGGGCCTGACATATTCAGTGATGAAAGCAAGAACCTACAACCAAGACTACTTTTCCTAGCAAGGCTATCATTTAAAATTAAAGGAGAAATAAAGAATTTCCAAGAAAAAACATTCTAAAAAACTCAATAAATGAGATAAAGAATTTATTAGAACAGTTGGAAATAGAGCAGACCATATGCAAGAGGGAATTAGCAAGTTTGAAGACAGAAATCTAGAAATTATTCAAGTGGAAGAAGAGAGATAACTAAGCTTTTTATAAAAAATAAAAGAACCCTATAAGAACTATATAATTTCATTAGAAAGGGTAACATAAGATAATGGGTATCCCAGACAGAGAAGAAAGGGGAAGGGACCATTTTCTTTCATTATTATTAAAGAATTCTACTAGAACTATCTGACTCCATTAGAAAGGTCAACATGAAGATAATGGGTATCACAGAAGGAAAGAGAGGGAGGAAGGAGCAGAGAGCCTATTTAGAGAAATAATTGATGAGAAGTTCCCAAACCAAGAGAAGGAACTTTACATTCAAGTACAAGAAGCTAACAAAACATAATATCTAGACTCAAAAAGCCTTCTCCAAGACACACTATATTAAAACTTATGTTTAATAAGTTTGTCAAAAGTTAATGATAAAGAAAGAATTCTCAAGGCATCCAAGGGAAAAAAGACAGTAACCTGCAAAGGAACCCCATCATCTTTCTTAGAAGAAACCCTATAGGCCAGCAAAGAGTGTAATGATATATTAAAAGTAATGAAAGATGGCAACCACCAGCCAAAAATAATATATCCTTGTTAAGCAAAGTTATCCTTTAGATTAAGGAGAAATAAAGGCTCCTCAGACAAACAAAAGTTGAGGGAATTTACTACCACAAAACCTACATTACAAGAAATGCTGAACCAAAATGACAAAAGTACACAAAACTTTGAGTAAGTTGACAAACAGAAGCAGAAAATTACAGCTCTATTTGACAATAGGGTATTAAATGCTTAATTATAACATAAAGGTTAAAGGGGGGGGGGGGGCGCCCTGGCCAGTTTAGCTTTGTGGTTAGAGCGTCAACCTGTGGACCAGAGTCACAGGTTTGATTCTGGTCAAGGGCATGTACCTCGGTTGCGGTTCCGTCCCTGGCCCTGGTCGGGGCTGTGAGGGGAGGCAACCAGTCGATGTGTCTCTCTCATGTTGATGTTTCTTTCTCTCCCTCCCACTCTATCTGAAGATAAATGGAAAAGTATTCTTGGGCAAGGATTTAAAAAAAGTTAAAGGGGGGAAACATTAAAAATAACTATAGCTACTGTACTTTGGTGATGAATGCATGGCATGAAAAGGGATGATTTGTGATAATAAAAACATAAAAGGGGAAGAGGGATAGCACAGGACTTGTATAGGTGAATGCAGATAGGATGCTATCAAAAGAAAAAGGACTAAACTCACCAATCAAAAGGCACAGAGGAGCAAGATGGATTTAAAAACAAGACCCATTATAAAAACAAGACACCTTCAGGAGACATGTCTCAGCTCTAAAAACAGACACATGGAAGGGTTGGAAGATGATACTCCAAGCAAATGGTATCCAGAGAAAAGTGAGTGTAGTTATACCCATATCAGACAAAACAGATATCAAGACAAAAAGAGATAACAAGAGACAAAGATGGACATCTTATAATGATAGAGGGAGAAATCTATCAAGAAGACATAGCATTTATTAATATGTATGCTCCCAACCTAGGAGCACCAAAATATATAAAGCAGTTATCAGTAACCTAAAGGGAAGAAATAGACAGCAGTACAATATGTAAGAGAAAAGAGCCCTTGCCAGATAGCTCAGTAAGTTAAAGCATTGTCCCGATGCACCAAGGGTTCAGGTTTGATCCCTGGTCATAGCACGTACAAGAATTAATCAATGAATGTATAAATAAGTGGGACAGCAAATTGATGTTTCTCTCTCTCTCTCTCTCTCTCTCTCTCTCTCTCTCTCTCAATCAGTAAATAAGAAAACAGTCACGGTGGCTGATTCTTCCTAAACCCTGACACAAAAAGTATTTTTTGAGGATAAAAAATTACTTGTGCTGAAAGGGCTCCTCAAACTAGTAATATAATAGAATCTCCTGGTTCTCTTGTGCAAATATAGATCCCCAGGAACTCTAACCCTAACCCCAACTCCCCCCACTTCTACCCCAACCCCCGAATCCAGGGCTTTCTGATTCAAAAGCCCTTACTCTTGATAACATCGCACTCATCCTAATTTGTCCTAATAAGGCAGGGAGACCCAGCAGGGTTACATCCATGGTCTTTGGGGTATCCAGCACTTTTGCCACCTTCTTGACCTGGAAGAGTAAAAGCTAAGAGGTATGAGTGGAGAAATGATCTACAAATAGTCATATCAAAGTGGGGACACAGCCCACTGGTGTTGCGCAGTGGATTGAGCCACGGACTGATAGGTCCCATGGACTGATAGGTCCCGGCTTGTTCCCTGTCAGGGCACATGCCTGGGTTGCGGGTTTGGTCCCCAGTGGGGGGGTTGCAGGGGGCAGCTGATGGATGCTTCTGTCTCACATCAATGTTTCTATCTCTCTCCCCCTCCTCTTTCTCTAATAAATCAACAAAAATATATTTTTATTAAAAAATTATAATAATAATAAAGCATGGACTTCAAAATGGAAATATGAATTCTAACTCCAGCTGTCCTAACTCACTAACAGAATAAGAAACTGAAATTCTTTCAGCCTCAGTGTTTGTATCTATAAAATGGGTATGGTAATAGTGTCTTTTTCGTAAGGACCTGTGTATATTACATGAGATCACATAAGTGAAGCTACCTAACACAGTACCTGGCACAGAGTCAACCTTCAATGCATTTTTTTTTAATTTAAAGTTCTGCTTACTGTATGACCTTGAGCTGGTTTCTTCCCCTCTCTGCCCCCCCCCCCCCCCCCCCCCGGCTTACCCATAGTCCGACGGCCAGGACAAAGAGGAAGTACAGAACCAGCACTGCGATGTCACCTGCCTCCAGGCTCCGCTGCGGAAAGGCCTCCAGGGGATCTGACTGTGCAGGTGGAGCGCTGCTGGGGCCGCTCTCCATGGTGCTGAACGGACTTCAGTCCTGTGGGAGGTCGACCGCGAGTCAGATGCCAGACCCCGGCACATTCTGCCCTCTCCGCAGCTGCCTGCTTGGAACGTCCGGACAGGACAACAGCCGCCGCAGCATATCTGAGGGCGGGTTCATCCAGCCATTCGTTCATTCATTCACTCATTCATTCATTCATTCAGCAAATGTTTGCAATGAAGTTTTATCAAACCCACAGTTAATTTTTACCAATTAAATCACTCACTTGGAAAAATGTAAAGAAGAATAAACACAGTAGTTCAGATGGTTTCATCACCTCTGCCACTTAACGAGCACATGTGCAGGAATGAGAGACAACAAGACAACCGAGAGTTTGTGTTTCCCAGATGCTGTAAAGCTGGGTCAAGCCTAGCCAACAACCTTCTCTGAGACTCAGCCAGACACTACAGTCTTGTTCCAATAAAACTGCCTATATTCACCAAATGCCTATAGAACACCTACTACATGCCAGGCCTCCTTCTAAGAGTTGAAACACTGTCCTAAGCTGTTTCTCAGTACACTGCACTTCAGTGGGTGGCTTTCGGGGTTGCCGTGTGGCAGATGTACGTTCCCTCAAAGGTCTTCATGTCCCAATCCCAGAACCTGTGACTATGTTAAATTACATGGCAAAGCACAATGAAGGATGGAATTAAGGTTGCTACTCAGCTCTCCTTAAAATGAGGAGCGTATTCTAATCATCTGAGTGAGTCTGATGCAATACAAGGGTCCTTAAAAGTGGAAAAGGAGATCAGAGATGACAGCGTGAGAAGGGTTTTGCCCAGTATCGCTGGCTTTAAAGATGGACTAGTAAGGCCATGAGCCAAGGAATGCAGGTGGCTTCTAGAAGCTGGAAAAGCAAACTGATCTATTCTTCCCAAGAACTACAGAAGGAATTTGGCCCTTTAAGACCCATTTAACACATGACTTCAGAACCAGGCTCACCCTGCCGGCGAGCGTTGGCTCAGTCCTAACAGCTGCAGAGCACTGCATCGGACCACAGGGGGGAGTTTAAACTTGAGTTTGCCAGCTTTCTTGTAAATAAAGAAACTGCACTAGCTGTTGCAATGGTTGATTTCCTAAAACTGTCATGAATGAGGTCACAGGCAAATTATGCCGAACACCTCTTAGAGCCTTTAAACGTTTTAAAAGGTGTTTCATAAACAGCAGTGACTAAGACCCTTCTGTGTTCCCTGCCTTCTAGGGCCCATGGTGCCTGTAGCCCTGGGCCATAGTCTCTGGGGGTCCCCTACATCTTAGGATCTGATGGAGGAAGGGCAGGCCAGGCCCAGCGTGGGGAATTAACAGCCAATTTCATTGGGCTCAGAAGTCATGACTCTTGAGGACCTGTGAGTATCTGTCAGTCTACTTCTCCACATTCTTTCCACCTGTTTCTGTAGCCTCCTGAGCTATCTTCTCTGCCGGTGATGGAGCTCAGCCTTCTCCTTCTCCTGAGGATGGGCTGTGACTGGCTGGCACTCCCAGAAGCCTCGTGGGCTGGGCACCCCAGGTCGGCAAACTTCTGTGTGTGCTTCAGACACATAACCTTGAGGGCAGCAGAAACCACCATGGGATTTTTCTTGTCCTAGGACAGCAGGATCCCACAGACACCCTTGAGGCGATCCAGGGTGGCCTGGCCCCGCTTGGCCTTGGGGGACACACGCCTCCTCCCATGGGCAGAAGTGTGGTACAGGGTTGGGAAATGGTAGGGCCATGAGATGGGTTGGTGTTCATCTGCTTGCAGGGGAAGGTCAGGTCCTTCAGCTTGGTTCTGTAGAAATTGCCAGAAGTGTGGGTGACCCCACAGTGCACGGCACCACCTCCAGCCCAGTGGTACCTGCTGGGCTGTGACGGCCACTGGTGGCCCAGGAGGTGGCTTTGGCCATTGAGCGCCAGGACCTGCCCCTCCAGCACCTTAGGCAGCTGCCCCAGAAAAAAACTCGTGCTGTCTTGAGCCATTAAGTGGTGTTTATTACAGCGGCAATTAGAAACTAAAATTCCTAAGGGTGATTTTTACTATAAGTGATTTGGGCACTGACTTATTCCTGTGTTAAGATGTGATTCATCCCAGGGTGTCAGCCCCCAAGGGTACAGGAAGGAAAAGACGTAGTCCCTGCCCTCCAGGGTGTGCAGCTAACCGAGGGATAAACCTACGCACAGACAAGAGCCACCCGATGTGATGACCAGTGTCATGGACAACCACAGAGACCCGCGCCTTGACGAGTCCAGCTTAGCAGCCGCTTTGCCAGCTGCACTGCCGACCCGTCCTGACACCTTGCACACATTCCCTAATTTCTCAAACACTTAGCTTTCCGTCTGCAAAATGGGCAATAAGAGCTGGCGTTTGATAGATTGCTGTGAACCGTGCCATGCTGAGTCCCGTGCCTTGCACAGCTGTGCTCAGTACGTTGCAGTTAGACTGCGATTATTATCATTTTCTACAAGAGGGAGTGAGGCAAGAACCACCGACTTCTCAGGGAGGACCCAGACAGCAGCATCGGAGCTGGACTCTGATGGAAGAGCAGGTGGTCCTTGGGGGACGAGGGGGTCAGGGAGCAGTCCAGGCTGAGACAGCCACACGTGCAGGCAACGAGGTGTGAATAAGCACGACCTGTTTAAAGAACCACCGGGTTCTGGCCTGAGTATTAACATGGGAGGGGATTTGAGCAGTGAGCCATGAAGGCGAAAACACCAGCCCTCGATGTCATTTGAAGGATTTTATAAGGTCAGTGGCTCTCATCCTTTCAACAGCACCTGCTTTTATAACAAGTATCTTGTAACATCCCCTAAAAAAGGTTCTGAGATTTAAATGTTAAGGGTGTTTCCCCCAAACCAACGAACAATTCTCAGACACCGACAGGACGTCTAAGAATTCAACTCAATCTGACACTATCTACCCAGAGAGAGCCTCAGATTCATCAGGTTAAAGGTTCAGTCCCTCACGATTGTCTCCCCTCAACATACACACACATTCAGATGCCACTTGCAAACCCAGGTTACCTGTTCTTCTGACTAACTGGCTAAAGGTTGGAGGTTCCAATGACACGCACCCTCTCCTTGAGTTTAATTAACTTGCTAGAAGGGGTCATAGAACTCAGAGAAACATTTTCTGAGAAATAGAAGGAAAGGCATTTCTGACAAAGTAATGATGCATCAACATGAAACTGCCCCGACCCCACTGGAAGACGCCAAGCCGATGCTTCCGACAGCGTGAAAGTGTCCTGCACTTAGAAATAAGAGACGCAGAAACCTTCATATCCCAGAAGCACCGAATAAAGAGTGAACCTACAAACACAAGAATAGAGACTCGTATATACACCAAATGTTTACATTTGTAAAAGTGCTTTGCAATCTTAAATGTTATGAGGATGTCCCAAGTGCCATGGATACCATGCTCTTAAGACAGAGCCCTCTGAAAAATATTTGAGACAGCATGGGAGATAAAAAGCAGGTACATTTTTTACATTAAACATACCCCAACATGTTGTGTTTTATGTAAACTAGAGGTAGGTTCTAGCTTCAGAGAGTTAGAAGCATGTTTTGCCCACGTGAATGTTTTGTGGGACATCAGGAAGTCTGTCGCATGGGGCAGCCTGGTGCATTTCGGGGTGTCTCACTTCTCTGGCCTCCATGCACTAAATGTCAGTAGTGCCCCAAGTCACTGTGACAACCAAAAAGTGTCCCAAACATTTTCAAAGCCTCTTTGGGGGGGGGGGCGCAATGCCCCTATTGTGCCTGCTCTGGGTTAAGGAGGTGCCATCGAAGGATTTTGAACGGGGAAGTGGTCAGCTGGGGGGAGGCTTGACTAGAAGCAAGAAGGTGGGCAGGAAGGATACCGCGCTACGGCTCGTGATCACTGATGGGGGAGGGGGGTAGCAGTTTCCGGCTCTGATCAGAATGGCCCACAGGCTGAGTGGCCTGGCTGGCTGCTTGTGCAGGATGCTTCTGCTCCTGAAGTAGCTGCTCATCTTCAATGCGATTGGTCCTGGGGCCGAAGGGCGATTCCTCGTTATGCAGCAGCCCTGGCCTCCACCTTCTAGCTGCCCGCGGCAGGGACAGCCGCCAACGTGCCCTAGGTTGAGAACCTGGAGGCCTGCAAGAGGCTGATGTTCCCTTAGAGGAGGCGCCGCAGGGGGGCTGTGCAGGTGCAGCTGTGGACTCCGGGGCTGAGCCTCACTCTTGTTCTGTTGGGAGGATGCTCACAGCTCCTCAGACCTGGGACACGGTGGCCCTCTCGTGGAGGCGAAGACCCAAGCACGCATTGATCACAGCGCTTACAAGGACAGAGGGAGAAGGAGGAAAGGAGGGAGGACAAGCATCGGGCAAAGCCAGCTGAGACCCACACCCGGGTCCACTGTGGGAGCGCCTGGCAGAAGCCGGTTCCAACCCAGATCCCCGAGCCTCCATCACTGTCATCCGTGAAGTGGGAGGACTCTGGTCCGCTCAAGGCTAACCCACCAACCTGAGGCCTGGGGGGAGAAAGCGGGAAGGAGGGCGGGAGCGTCCCTGAGGGAGTGGAGGGTCTAACCAGGAAAGGTGGATTCTGGAGGCCTGGGGGGAGGAGCTGGGTGGTCCTTGAGGGTTGTCTCCAGGGGAAGACAGGTAGGTAATGTTCTTATGAACTGTGTAAGCAAGGAAGCTGTGTCCCCAGAGCTGAGACTCCGGTCCACGTGTGTCTGACATCAGAGCATTCTCAAACATTCCAACCTGCTGCTTCCAACAGTGAGGATGAGGGGCTTGGGGGCAGCTTATCAGGGGACTGGGATAGATTTTTCCAGAACCCAGCAGGTCTAAAAGGGAGAAGGGGGGAGGGGGGAAGGGGAGGAAGAAGGAAGGAGGGGCAGCAGGCTGACTTGAGAGCCAGCTCTCCCGGTCCCCAGCCCCTCCCCAGCTGCCCCTTGCTGGCCTCTGCCTGCCAGGCACCGAGAGGGGTGGGAGCAGATAAACAAGTCATTCATCACGCTCTGGGCGGTCTGGCACCA